CGTATTCGTGCCGAAACCACTGCTTCCGAAACGTAAGAAAACCAAGTATTAACTGTGGTTTTGCAATGGGCCATCCAACACTTCACAGAGTGAAAATCGCGACCATTCCCCTTCGATGGATTAAATATATTAAAGAAAACGTAAAGTTATTTGTAACCTATCCATTTTATATGGTGACAAATCTACGAAATGTATATTCCGTTACCAGAATAAAAACTTGTCACTCACCGACACGATGCGCAGCAACAGAGTTGTATCTACGTGTACGTTGATTCTGCAATGTCCGATGCCTATCCTAGACCGCTTCCTCTTCTATTCAGGTATCCTCCTCTCAGGTGTCCTTGTCTCAGCTGTCCTGCGACACACTCGCAAATTTGCACTCCCGTTTGCAAAGCCGATTGTCACTGTATCCGATTCTCACTGTCTTCAATTTTCACTTTCACTTTGTCCGATTGTCACCGAGTTCGATCGCTAATCTAAACTGCTCGATCAAATCGTTTGATAGCCACGCGAATCACTGAACGAAAGAGTTAATTTTGCGACAGGAACATCCGTATATTGTAAGCGAAAGGCAGTCGAGAGATCCTCTTCCACTCGCAAATTTGCACCTCCGTTTGTCAAGCCGATGGTCACTGTATCCGAATGCATCGGTCTTCGATTTTCACTGTATCCGATTTCCACTATCTCTAATTTTCACTTTCACCGTGTCCGATTGTCACCGAGTCCGATTGCCAATGAGAACTGCTCGATCAAATTGTCACTTTGATATCCACACGAATCACTGAACGGAAGAGTTAGTTGTGCGAAAAATTCTGAACTACCGTAGGTAGCGTCCTTCTCTGGACAATAATTTTTCACGTGAACAAAGCGTTGCCGGAAAAACACACCCAAGGCACGTGATAATCGCGATAATGTTCTTCAAAACGTTTTAACATTTTCTAACATGGAATTTTCGTGTAAAATAGAAAGAAATACGCTCGATTCTTCCGATTCTTTCCGCTTTTATTGCGTTACATATTGTTACATATTGTTTAATTTTACGACGCGACACGATGAACCGTCGCGCGCGGTTGCGATTCGTTTAAGTAGGCGATTTCTGCTTCAACTTACGCACGATATTTGTCTCGATAAATCACCGTAGAAATTAACGATTACGGATCGTGACAATAACTTAAAAACGTCACTAACTCTCGTAGGAGACGATCGCGTGCGTAGCAGGTGATCGAGATTCAAGGAGCGACGCGAAGGCACGCGGAACAACCGCCTCGCTCGACTGATCCGCGCCGAATAATATAATACAATAGATTGTTCTCGACCGAGGTGTTTACGGCGCTACGTCGTGTTTTTGTAATTGACGCTCGGTCTACGGCGTTCGGCAAAACAAAGTCACGCTGTACTCAGGGTCATTCACGCGGTAACAGTCAAATAAGTCGGTTGTGCCCGCGCCGCTCCGCGTGTCGTATTTATTCATTCTTGATACGCGATCGCGACAAGTACGGGACGAAATCGCGATCGCTCTCCGCGAATAATCGGTGATCGATGTCATCGCGCGATCGTTGTATCCTCGCGATTACAGTGATTATCGCGTGCCTTGAGTGTGTTCTTACGGCAATGCTTTGTTCACGTGAAGTCATTGTCCGGAGAAGGTCTCTATCGGCAGGCGGTTCACAATCAGAATTGTTCGGTACGTCGTAGCGACAGGATCTCTCGACTGCCTGTCGCTTACAACATACGGATTTTTCTGTCGCAAAATTAACTCTTTCGTTCAGTGATTCGCGTGGCTATCAAAGTAACAATTTGTTCGAGCAGTTTACATTAGCGATCGAACTCGGTGACAATCGGACAAAGTGAAAGTGAAAAGTGAAAGTGAAAATTGAAGACAGTGAGACTCGGATACAGTGACAATCGGCTTTGCAAACGGGAGTGCAAATTTGCGAGTGTGTCGCAGCTGAGACAAGGACACCTGAGAGGAGGATACCTGAGTGGAAGAGAAAGCGGTCTATATAGGATAGGCATCGGACATTGCAGAATCAACGTACATACACGTAGATACAACTCCGTTTCTGCGCAACGTGTCGGTGAGTGATAAGTTTTTATTCTGGTAACGGAATATACATTTCGTAGATTTGTTACCATATAAAATGGATAGGTTACAAATAATTTCACGTTTTCTTTAATATATTTAATCTATCGAAGGGGAATGGTCGCGATTTTCACTCTGTGGAGTGTTGGATGGCCCATTGCAAAACCACAGTTAATACCTGGTTTTCTTACGTTTCGGAGCAGTGGTTTCGGCACGAGTACGCGACGTCGATTCGCGAAAATAATTAGAATAAGAAATTTAAGAAAAGAAAAAAGAAAATCACGATTTACATGTAAAGAACAATAGTAAGAATATTCGATTCAATGAGTGATAAGCGACCGTCGTTAACTCATTATTGCCGAAATGACCGATGTTGGGAGCAATCCAGAAGATCTGGGATTTGTTCCTTCTTACAGCTGGGCCTTTGACTTCCACGGGTTCTTGAAGTTTCATTCACAGACATTTAATTTTACGGAACACTACAACTGAGAATATATTGAGCTCATTTTCCATGTTGGGAATCGTCGAACCACATTGCAGAAATTACGCGAATAGGGCGAATGATTTGTTGATGTGTTCGTCGAGCTAATCACTAGTAACCTATCCATTTTTCCAGTGTATTGACATGTAAAGTAAAATAATGTGACGTGAGATTCTAAATTTTTCTCTTTTGTCGAAAACGTTGAAACATTTCCAATTATTATTATACATTATTGACGGTTGATGATCTGCAATTATTGATGATCTGTAATATTCAATTACAATATCAGCATCTATCGTGCAGGAAGGTTCTTTAATTCTGAATCTCACGTCATTTATTATGTATATGTATCTCGCAATACACCTTCAAGATACGTCTCGCATGAACAACATGCATAATCGTATCGCATCTTCATACATCGGTTTTTAAAACTTTTCCAAGATATTAGTACTTATTAAATTTCATCCATAGTAGAAATGTTAAGTTACCGCGGAATATAATGAAAATTAATATAACGCGTGGTAAAATGTTTTCTGTACATAAATAATTTCCGTGTACAGACTTGAATTTTGAATTGAAAAATTTAATCACGAAGAGACGGCCAATACTCTCGTGTAAATAACGGAAATAGAGATATATTTAATTAGTTTTATGCGGTAAATTTTTTCGAATTAAAATTCCTTTTTAACTAACTTCTCGTAGTCGCGTATTTTTCGATACGGTCGACGCTCGCAAATATATTTCAAATCATACGTAATATCTGTCGGAAACGATAACAAACCAACTATGGGAGGAGGTTTTTTCCTTCCTGATCTCTGGTCGAAATGACCAGACTGTGTCAGGCCAGGAGCAACGAAAGGTAGGTCCAATCTGGCCCAACGAAGGAAGACTGTATACAACGGGGTAAGTGGTCAATATTGGCCACTCTGATGGGGTATGTAAGGCGATGTACAAAATAATTTGATTTCTTTCATTTATCAAAACTCGGGTGGGTTATCCTTTCTATATGCAGTCGCATATGTACGAGTATATGTATGTGTGCGAGATTGAAAAGACCCCTATTAAATCCCAATCGCACGCATATTGTAACCAAATCGAACCTTTTATTAATCGCGTCGCGGTTTTAATAAAAGACTTTTAGGTCTATTAAGTTGACACACAGATAGATAGAAAATTGGATAGGATTATACATATGTCGTAATACGGACACAGGTAGGGATTCGGATGGGCAGGGACTGCGGGACATAACTCGATAATTAAGAAGATAAATGAAATTGTAACTGCAATGTAATAATAAATATAACTATATTTATTATTATTGTATCACGAAACATATTATAATATGTGTACTGATATAATGCTGATAAATTTAATTATATTTGCCATTACTTTGAATAAAATATATTTTTACTTAGAAACTCTACATATAATATATTTTTAATAAAATGTGTCAAATTGTATTAAAATAATTATTAGGAATGTTACGTTATCATAGAACATAGATCATGTTTTTATCGACGTGTTATGCACATAGCTCGGAACACAACCGACACGTGCACATCTGCGTTATCTGCTTAGCCCAAACGTGGACATTGGCTACGTAGTTCATGTCCACGTTTTCAATGTGGGCGTATCGCGTTCGAGGATCACTTAAAACCGGGCCGTGGCGGCTCTCAGGGCTGTGTTCGGGGAGACGCTATTTAGCGCTATGAGCGTACTCTATCCTTGTTCAACTTTTGCAAGTAATAAAGACAGAGCACGCTCGTAGCGCTAAATAACATCTCCCTGAACGCAGCCCAGGCTTCTCTCTGTTCTTACATTGTAAGCGCCATCTTACATTGTTCTTTACCAAGATAATGAAACGGTATTACCAGCTGGAGAACATACAGTTTTTTAAATAAAAATGTATATGTATAATATTTTCATTTAATTAAAAATTAATTATTATTTTAATATGCATTTTCGTCAACGTTAGATGTCAAAAATAACTATACAAAGATTTTGCAAACTATTTTTAGACTATAATGAGTTGTTATACGATGAATGTACTAAATTAATAATTGCAAATAATATTGATATTATCACACTTATTATTTTTAATTATTTAAGTGTATTGGAAATTTTGTTCTTGATAATAATGTACTTATATTATTCAAAGAAACGGCAACAGATTTTACATACACTATGGTGTTGCAAGTATCTTCCAGGGGCTTGATGGATCTTATGAGCACTTTAATTATACAAATATTTGGCTTGTCTAAAATAATTATATTTAAAACAATCATATTTAGTTGTTTTATTTGTCGTGAATGACTTCAGAATATTGAAGAAATCCTATTGCAATAAAATTAGCAAGAGAATATATGTATATCTACGTATATGAAGTATCCATTTATTTTACAAAAAAATGCTTTTATTAACAAATGCGAAGATAATAATAAATAATTATGTCACACAAAAAAATAAATAATCAAAAATGTCCACCGAAGAAATAATTTTGTATTGCCTCGCAAATATATTCGGCAATATTCCGATATATTGACAGTTACATTGTCAATATCTTTTACAAACACTTGAATGTATGCAAAGATGAACATTGCTAATTATTCTTCGGCGTGTATTTACACGTTATATTTAAGGAAAACTGACGAACCAGCTTTATCGATACTCCGTGAATTTTCCAAAAGGAAAGAAATTTAATTTAATTCCACTTGCCAACATATTCCGAATGTCAGACGTAGTAATGTCACGATTAGAGGGGAATATTACGGATTCTTAAGCTTAATCAAAAATTTAATTAGCGCCACTAATTTCTCGATAAGCTAACAAATCCGTCGAGCTCGATGCGAGTTTTGTTGAAACCGACGTAACAATTCTACGATTATAGTCGGCACGGTGCCGACAGTCTTTGAACTTGAACGATACTGACGTCGCGCCGGCGTCGATCAGTGAGCTACTTGATTATTTGGCGTGCGTTTCTTTGGTCGTATCTTATTTGCCGACGTACGATCGGGAATGCGTTTACGAGGGCAACATCAGACGATTGATCGATGCGTCGTTAGTGGGACATTAGAACGAGTTCAGTTGTAGTTCGTTGAGCTGCTTGAAGATGAGGATGACGAGGAGGATCCCACTGAGTTGTACGAGCTGGAGCTGCTGCCGGGCGTGTAGTAGCTGTAAGCAAGATTTTGGGCTTCCACACCATTGCTTGGTGTCCAAACGCGGGAATAAGGACCGTTGCCATCCCACGTATTGACGGGATCGTAGCTCGACGTCGTCGAGAGCATAGGTGGAGCACCATATGCCGATGCCGGCTCCATGGACATTCCTAGGATCGAAAAAAATTCACTTTTCATGCGTCCCATCAAAATTACACGGTCACATTTTCTTTCGCGTGCCGCAAATATTCTTCAAGATTTAATAGAAATCTTCATACAATATCTTCTTTATGTATTAAGAGAGATATTGAAAAATTGTAATAAATTAAATTGATATTCTTAAACACACATAAAAAATGAAATTAATGAAACAATACATATTTTTTAGAGGAGAGTAAAGAAAATTATTTTATACGTAATAAATTAATGAAGAAAAATGAAATTTTCTGCAAGTATATATAATTATCTACCATTTTCATAATAAATGTGGGAATTTAACTTTTATGTTAAATACTAAAGAGGTACTGAAACATTAAGAATATATGTATGTATACGTACCCATCGGCATCATCATGCCACCTTTCTTGAAGAACTGCATGGCGACAAATCCAATCACGATAAGAATGGCAAGCTTCGACAAGACAAGAGCCTTTAATGCTTTTAATCCAATAATGGCGACAAAGATGGGCATTAGAGCCTTCAGCTTCAATTTCAACAGCAGCAAAAACGGTAGCAGGAGTTTCTTCTTCAAAAGTCCTCGCGCTTGACTCGTAGCTACGTCATTGTCCTTGAATTCGACGTCAAGGTCTGCCAGGCTCCTGCTAGGTCTGTACTTTAAGCTGGCATCGACGAACGGTAAATCAACACCGTAATCGAAACTCTTGAGATACTTGAAGGTCCTGGCAATGATTGCCTCGTCAACGGTTTCGAGCGATCTCGCTCCCGTGGTGATTCCCAGTTTGTTGTCGAGATAAGCCAAAACTTGATGCTTCAAACAGGACGTCCAGGACTCCGTCTTCACACATTCGTTCAAAGAGTTCGTCAGGAAGTCCTGATTGGCCGTACAAGATCCCAGCAGCAGAACGATCGCGCCTACTGTTGCTATCAGTCGCATGTTGATATCCTTTTCCTTTCTGCGACGTTTTGTTGAAGATTATTCGAGTCGCCCGCCGTTTCTCTTCCTCGCCGTCTCGTATGGATGCCACTCGCCGTTCTCGCAGTACCGCGTGTCAATAAAAGCGATCGATCGTCCACCCGTGTGAGCGAGCGATCATCGGCAATCGAACTGCGACTGACGGAGGAGTGGCCCGTCCCTTTTATTTAATTTGTCCCCCTATGAATCTATGTTATTCGGTCGCGCATGCCGAGAATCTACGATCGAAGGGAAATTATTCAAATTTCACTGGCATAGAGCATCGTACCTCCAACCCCCCTCGAACCTCTCGCACGCTCATTCATTCGTACGTGTATACGTATTGATTGTTGTGCGTCGCACACGTCGCATACGTCGTACACGACGGCATGCAACGCATACGGGAAACGGAACTTGCGCCTCGCGTCTCTTCGCCTTTGCGAGTCTTACTTGACTCGTCGCAAGCCGCCAGGCGTCGTTTCTCCGCCCGTACGCCTTCTATGATTTAACAGAATGTGTAAAGACCTTCACACCTAAAATTCCGTAAGGACGTAAAACGTAAGCATAAGAAAATCGACCAATCACAGTCGAGAACGTAAGGCAATAACGCAAGCAGTAGCAAATCCAATCTGTTGATTTTCTTACGCTTGCGTTTTACGTCCTTACGAAATTTTATGTGTGAAGGCCTTAACTGTTGTCGCTGTAACACTCCTGAAAATTGCAAGCTGTGTGTGTATCTGCGCGTATAATAATTTAAAAGGATACAGATGCAGTACTGCTTATAGTCTAAAGTGGCGAAGTCTACGGTGCAACACATTGTTTTACAATTTTAAGTCAATAAAACTGTATCGATTTGAATCTTGCAATCAATTAAGAAGATACTATTTTTTTTACGCTCAACGGGGGCTGAATTCTGGCTGAAGTGATATTTTTTTTGCGAAGGATACTTGTTAGCATCGAAAGTTAAATCGATTATCGATTTAAAAGTATACGAAGCTGCTGTTTCAACAATTTTTTAATTGAAATACAGGGAGAAAAAGACATACATGAAAGGCGATTTATTGCTGCACCATATGCGAAATACTTTGAACTTAAATTTTTCAGTGGTAAATATTATAAGAACAGCTGTATAATTATCACATCATAACATAATAACAGCGCAACAGATGTATGTACAAACTAAAATCTGAATTTACTTATTTCAATTTATTTTATAAATCTTCGATTCTCCAAAGTATATTGATATATGTACTTCAGAAGTCACATGCGAACGTGATGTAAACGTTAACGTAAACGTAAGTAAAACGCTACTTAGTTATACGTATGATGTATGTACATATAGATTTTCTTGTTTTCATAGAAATTGCAAGTCACGTAATATGTTAAAACAGTGAAATGACTCTTTCAAAGTGGTGATTTCTCCAATCAACTTTCGTAAGAAACGAAAGTAATCACATTCACATATACGTGCGTACGCGTAGAACTTCTTTAAATATCGTATAAAATTTCGATTGATTAAAAATGTAGCGTTCCTTTAAACATAAAAAAAAGAAGGATAATTAAACTATGTATTACAGAAACGGGGGGCCATAAAATGTATCATACACTGAAAAAAATCCTGTAATCCTACAGAAATTCTGGTAAATTCTAAAGGAATTCTGGTAAATCCTAAAGGAATTATCTGATTCGTCCATATTCAACCAGAAATTTTTTTCAGTGTACCAATCTTAAATATGTAACAATTTTTTTTATAAAGCATATCGCTAAATCAGCCGCGAAAATACTAGAGATAATAGAGATAAAATGTTTGTCTGACTTTTCATTTTCATAGATTCCTGTAAACATCTTTTCTTAAAAATTAACGAACAAATTACTAATTTATGCAAAGAAAATGAAAGAAACTTAGGACAATATTTTAAACTTAAAAAAATTTTTAATACACTGAAATTTATATTGTTCTTGTAAAGAGGGAAAGTTGTGTATCTTTGTCCGCGGTAATCTCTAAAACTAATGGACCGATTCAATTGAAATTTTAACAGGTGTTTCTATACAAATAAGTCTCTAGCCAAGTTTTCAAATTTATTTTCTCTGTATATAGCCTAAATTGTGCTATCATTTCTTATATTATGTACATATTTTTTTCGTAAAAGAGCACATTAATTTAAAACTACGACAACTTTATTAACATTAATTTAATTAATCTTCTGGAATAAATTTGAGCATCGGACGTCAAGCGGCATCGGGAAAGCAGGTATTCAAGTAAGCGTAGGTCGAAATGACTTGCAATAATAATTTATTAAATAGATAGTAAAAATAGGAAGCTAAGTATTTTACAAAAGCATCTACAGGCCAACAGTGACATTAAGATTGTGCATGAGCGGCGTATGCGAGATTGTGCGCAAGCTGCGATGTCGAGAGTTGATCTTGATTCTGGAAAGATCTGTATTGAGTTTGATATTCCCATCCGTGGCCAATGGGTGCAGCGTGGGTATCGGCGGCGATTTTCTTGCAGAGCTGGAAGATGGCCATGCCAACGGACACGATGAAGCTGAAGAACGAGAGCTGCAGGGCGTTCCATGCCTTCAAACCGAGCACACCGATGGCCAGGGGAATCAGAGTCATTGCCTTCAGCAAGACGAACACGAGGATAGGGACGATGACTTTCTTCAGCTTGGATCTACGAGCCTCGTCGACGGCACGGCCCTGGCCGAACTTGACGTTGAAGGTGAGCTGATCGTCTTCGATATTGCGCGAGCTCACCTTCACGGTGGAGTCTAGTGGCAACTTAAAGGTCACGTCGTGAGAGGCCAAGTAAGATTGTACAGTATCGAGAAAAGAACTGTCGCTACGGGCGGACGTTGCTTCGATGGGGTATGAGTTATGTGTGACTTCCACCGTTTCGGATATCTGCAAAAATGAAGAGAGAAAAAAGGTCGGCATGTATAGTTGATTAATGCGAAATATCTTATTGCGTGTAAAAACAATTCACGTAACTTCACTAAGCAAAGTGAAAAAATAATAAAAGAAATATTAAATTAGAAATGAGAAATCTCCACCGTTGGAGTAATATCGGCAAAATGTTACACGCCGATACTTACCTTGAAGTTATCCTTACTGAAGATCTGGTCGAGCAGATTAAACACCTTAAACTTCATGCAAGCGATCTCGTCGTTCTTCTGCGAACATTCCGATCTGGATTGATCTACCATCTCGTCCATGGCATTCTTCCAGTTTTCATTCTTGGCCGGTTGCGCAGCGGCCAGCGCCAGTAGGCCGCACAAGATAAAGAGCTTCATGGCGTTAGCAGGGGGTGTATCCGTTCGTGAGGATTCTCGAGGAAAATTCGGGGTATGCACTTGTTCGTTGATAATGAATGACGACGATCGCGGCACGACGACTGATGCCAATGGGTTGGGCAGTACGGTATTTATACGAAGGCCTATCGTCGAATCGCACAACGCACGTTGAAGAGCCGTGTAGCGGTGTCCGCGAATACTCCCCCACTTCCACCCGGGCGTGGATTTTCTTTTCGTTCAGTATGGTCTTCGATTATTGAGGCCTCGCTACAGATCATGCCGCGACTACCTAATGAGGGAGGATAGAGCGGGCGGGCGTGAGATCGCGCGACACACCACACGCGACATCGAATCGGGGTGGCGGCCCCGATAGGTCACACATTTCGCATCATGAAACGCGATGGAATCTATGATATTAATGAGCAGTAGTTTGCTTTCCACGAACGATATCAGAAGACCCACTTGCGACGGTAGTCGCTCGTGGAATATTTTTAAAGCATGGCTTGAATTAAATTTTTTATAACAAACGCAGCTGGATTTTCTAATCAGACTGAATTCGTCCAAGTGAAAGCGGAATTAAAAAAGTTATCGGAAACGTCAGAGGAAAGAAATCTGATCTTTGAAAGTTTTTCAGGACATTACATTAAGTTTTATCGTTGCACAAAAATTTTAGAGGAGAACAAAAGTTAATTGAAGTAATACATATTTTTTATATAGAAATAAATATTATGTACACAAGAAATTACTGCAATAATTAGATCATTTTAATATCTTCGTTATTTTGAGCAATATTACACAATATTTTGAACCCCTGGACAATTATGGCTTTCGATTTGTCTACTTACACAATTTGTTAAATCATTCTTTAACTGCTTGATTTTTCATATTCGACGTAGCAAAGTCTAATGATTTCAATGCAGAATGATACACAAGTAATTGATAAATTTTATGATTTAGTTGTACGTAACGACAATTAATCTTTATTAGTTGTCAGACAAGAGGAAAAATTAAAGAAAGACAAATGAGCACAAATGACGTCTCTAATTATGTTTAATCTTTCTCAGCGCCTTTCTTTGTAGCAATCAGCCGGAAATGATGTATACGTAGAGTCCTTTATCCTTGACACTAAAGTCACCGTAACATTGGCATTGAACCAATCATTCATTCACGGCACGATCATATGTAACTTTCCACACGAGCGCCCCGTTAAAACTCCCTCCTGTCTCTTCATGTTCTCTTCACGTTTCCTTATGTCGTTAACCCGATCTCTAGACACTGCTAATTTCACCCTGTTGGACCTAATTAAATTGTAACTCCTGATCGAACCTAAAGGAAAACGGTTCGTCGGGGTACATCAGCAATGCGCGTTGCGTGCGAGTTTCTCGCGCGAGAATGCGCATGGGGTACTATCGAAGACACTTCTGTCTTCCTGCCCGACTTCTCCTTTATCGTAACAATGAAACGACAACTGGAATTTTGGGTCAAGTCTGCATAAACATTTAGGCCATTTGCCCGATAAAATGCCGATCGATATATTTCGCATTTTGCACAATTGATCTATTCGTTTCGCTCTTAGTCTGTGTATTAGCTTTTAGTAAATTTGCGTGCATCAACGAACGTTTCATAAACTGCAACATCCCTCCATTACCACATTCATCTTTTCCTAGGGAAATGGCGTTTTTCAATATTTATGAGGACTGAAAGCAATTTCATAATACAGATTACACAAACTAATAAAAGTTTTATAAAAATTCTATCTTAATTTTTTCAAAAATGTATTTACATATTCCTACATACAGTACCAATGTACCATACATATGTATACAATAATTTCAGTTGTTCTGAATTTATTATATTAGTTTTATAATGACAATTTATTTATTCAAATTGCCAAGAGTGAGAATGCGCCAAAGCAGGAATCACCTTTTCAATTTTGAAACTTATTCCAATTCCGTATTTATTATTCTTTTGTAAGATGTACTCACTGTTAGGAGAGAACGATAGCGTTCTTTGCATCTGAGGAAAATGACAGTTTAAAATACTGAAACGGAGTGTTGTGGCGTAAATAATCGATAAAGTTTATTTGATGAAATGCAAAAGTTTTAATTATACATAAATAATGTAGGTGGAACACTAACAATGAATAAATAGGTAAATCTACACAAACGATAAAACAATTAATTTCGTTGTACATCGTTCTATTTCCTATAGGCCCTGTAAGGTCCGTGCGGTGCAGTGTCCCAATGAGGGGGGTGTTCTATGGGCGGGTGTCCATAGTGAACAACCTCGTAAGCGACTTTCGGTTTAGTCAGCTTGAAGAGCACCATCGCTCCGCTGAGAACCAATGACAAAAGACCCAAAGTCAGCGCCTTCCAAGTTTTCAATGCGATGAGAGCGAGAGCGAGAGGTACCAAAGCGGTGGCTTTGAACTTGAGGCCAAGAAGGAATGGTATCATCACTTTCTTGACGAAACCGCGACCTGCGAATATAAAGAAAATTAAATTAAAATAAGAATTATTTAAGCACCAACATGTTGACGCGGCTCTTTAGTCTTCATTCCTTCTAATTTGTGTTTATCACATGAGAGCCTTGTGAATTTTAATTAATTTGTCTACTTGAAATGTTCCTCGAGAAACCCTTTAGTAGCTTAACGAATATAATTTTTTTTTATACTTATAGATTGTAAAATATAAAATAATACAAACGTCAATTCATGCTGTTTATTACTAGAGTACCTTGTTCATTAGAAGAATCACTAAGAGGGATTGTAAGACTCTTCGGCATGCTGTCGACTAAGGATCTGGGGACAATATTGGATCCTTCAATCGCTGCTGGTAGCTTAGCCTCAAGCTGATGGCTTGACAAGTACGCGTCCAATTTTTCGAGCAACAATGTTCGTAGGAATTTTCTCTTGGCTGGATCCGCGGCGTCGAATTGTGAGGTAGAATAATCTTCCATTTTATGCTCTGGTTCGTCACGGGATTTAACTACTGCTAAATCCTCCGTAATAGCTAGTCTGTCTTGTTTCATGGCATCGGTAATATAAGCCAACACTTTCGGTTTAACACAAGATAACATGGATTCGCTATCTGCGCATCTGAAAGAAATTTCAAGCTTGTACACCATATAAAAAAAAGACATGAGATATTTCTACGATATTACTGTTACTTTTGACATTGTAATTTAATTGAACGCAAACAAGTAAATATATATATATATAATTATTAATAATTAGAATAATAAATATAAAAAATTATAATCATTATAAGTTACCTGTGATAAATTTCTTGTAGGACATCAACAGTAGTTTCTATTTGTTGAGCACTAGTGAGAATCGCCAGAAGGGCTACTAACGCAAAAGTGGTTAAAATCCTCATGGCGGTACCACCGATTCGCCAGACTAAACACCGAATGCCAGTACGGTCGGCGTCAACGGGGTTTTATAGCTGATGGCAGTCGCGTACGACTGATGAATTTTGATCAGGGACGTGTGGCTGACTGGTTGAAAGAAAAGAAGAAAGCCTCATTATTTAGGGTGTCGGTATTTTCACGACTCCGAGTGCTTTCGTCCCTCTGGAATGATTTCGATTTCGATGTCTACACCACTTCCGCTTTTAAATTAGGTTCAATGAACTATATTTAGGTGATACTTGCTCAAAATATTTTTCAAAAAGTTCCTGATTTTTCAAGATATTTTCAACGTGATTTTTATGGCACAATGAAATTTTCAATTCTTTTCCATTTGTCTAATTATAACCAAAAACGTAATAAAAATGTACGCACTTTCATTAGATCGAGATATAAAAAATTATAATTTTATGAAATACCGAAATAAAGAAATATAGGAGTTACTTTTTATTTCCTTAAAATTTTAAGCACTCTTGACGTTTATGTAATTAAAAAAATTACTTATAAATACTTTGATTTGAAGCATATTTTTATGTATTTATACTTTTTAAAATTAAATAGAGTTACTTAACAGAGAGCAGGAAAAAGATATACAAAGAAAGTAACTTTACAGTATTATCATATTGGAAGAAAATATATTAAATATCACTTATATGTTTACTTAAGTTAATGATTTTTTAATGTCTATCAATAAACAAGAAATACAATAACAACAAAATGTATTTAAACTAATTTATTAAATAAATCTAAGAGAGAGAGAGAGAGAGAGAGAGAGAGAGAGAAAGAGAGTAAAATAAATTATCTTGCTCATAAAATTACTTATTCAATTTTAGAAAAAATAAAAAAATGAAATTTTTAGAATATTCATAAGATTGTTTTAATTTAACTAGTACGTGATTTAAGAAGTATTTGTTGTTGAAGCTATTGAATACAAGCATAGGTGTGTACAAGGATAATGTATGTATATAAAAGTATGTATAAACATTGATTTAACATTTTATTGTACATATATTAATATACACGGTCAGGCCACATAATTGATTAAAAGTTCATTTTCTATATCGTTTTTGCGATATTTGAATAATTAAAAGATTTAAGATAAAGTTTAAATAACATTTATTGGGTATGGCACCCGAATATATAACAGCAATTAATTATTTAACAAAATTAAGCAGTCCTTAAATACTAAACACTACCTTTTATATAACATCACACGTATCATGCAAAAATGCAATATGTCTTTAACATATTTTTAATTTATTACGGCATCTAAATATCTTTTATGCTATTGCATGTAATCATGAAAAAGACTAAGTTATTATAAAATGTTCTAATTTGTTAAATGTTTTGTAAATAAATATTAAAGAAAAGTTATGTGTCATATTGCGTTTCAAAAATAAAAATATTCTTTTAATTTCTAAGTTATTCGTACTTTCCAGATATGAATCAATTAAATTAGTACAATTTCCCTCATTATTTCTTAAAACACCATGATTTTTTAATTACATAATCTAAAACTTATGACGCTCGCTTAACCTATGAAATGCCACATAATCCAACATCATATCTTATTACCTAACAATGATATTCTTGGAGACAGTAATCTTTGTGACAACGCGTCAAAAAAACTACGGAAACTTCGACACGCCATCACAAAATTCACCGATTGTACTCCTTGCTAAATGTGATGATTAAATTTGAAGAGAATTGGCGTGAATTACAATAAAATGTTACATTGAATGTGTTGGTCGGCATTTGATTAACTAAAAAATTAATTGCTAGAATTAGTACGACGAGTGCGCGTCTGTTCGCAGGGCACCTCAATGTCTTTGCTAATAGGAAAATTAGAGTTGACACGACTTCACGCACGTCTCATATATGTATTCATAAATTAATGCATGGCAGTAGATCGTTGTTTCTTATAGTGATATTACGCAACGTTACGACGCTGAGCTTCTAATGTAATTTCTTCGGCCTCATTGAGCAAATATATATGTCCAGCAGCATTGTACACAAACGGGATTGTAGTGTCCGTTATAATTTACTCGCGGATTATGCGAGTTGCTATAAATTTCGCGTTACGGGACATTTATTCAATATTACTGTGACAGGGATACGTCTTGAGGCAATCTCCACCGTCTTGACCGTATCTGGCTGCGTTCATGTATCTGTAGAACTTTTGGCTGGACGTACTTCCCGTTATATCACGCCTCAGTTCCTGTGGATCTCTGCAAAGATATGTAATTTTTCAAATGAATCCAATTTGCACAAGGCACAATGTCTTAAGAATAGCAAGAGATTACACGTCTCAATTAACGTGCTTGTTTCGAGCCGCGTCGACCCGATTCATGCTCGTTTTCCTTGCTCGTTACCGGAATAATTCGATATACGCGCATTGCTCTGAAACGTAATTTTGTTGCTCCTAAATAGAAAGTTACTTCTGAAAAGGCCGTAATTATGCGTAAGCGAGTTACTCGACAAACGTCACGGACGCAACAGAACTGTACTATATTTCCGGTTCGTCGCGTGGCCGGCTTGACTGTAAAATATCTTCACAAGTTATGCCAATTGTTAATAAAAATGTAATCAAGACGCAACACTCAACGCTAGCTTGGCCTGAGATGCGCGAAATCGGATTCACGTCATTAAGAAGCAGCAAAGAAGAACGAAAAAATGAAGAAAAGAGAGAAAGAAATGGAGAGAGAAACCAACATGACCCGATTAACGCGATTCGGAGCGCGCGGGCGATCTCCACCTTTCTCTTTGTGATGCGCGATTTAATCGATAAGCCACGTAGCTGCTACTGTGCTTCATACCTGGAAAGTTCGTTGGACACCAGATTACTGTGCGGCGAATAGCCCGCCGGATTTTTGTACATGCTGCAAACGAGCATCTCTCTACACGACTCTTCGTAGAACCTCAGCTGCTCGAAGATATCCTCTAGCCGAGCAATTATAGGCCCGTAATAGTCGTCTTCCGTGTCTTGTCGTGATATCGATACGGAGGGACTCTTGGCAGGTGCGACGGGTGTCAAGAACCTTTGAGGCTGATGGTGAATCGGGCGTATGTTCGGCGCAAAGACCGCGTAAGGGTTCTTCATCGGTGCTTTCGCACCGGACACGAGGCCCGGATTGATCGAAAGTACAGCGGCGGGATTTGGCTGCAGTGCGGGTCGTCGGTACGCGGAATATGCCAAATTGTGAGCACCGGCCGCCACCGAATTGTCCAGATAGGACGACGCGATCGGCTTCACGTTTGGCGCGTATTGAGGCAGTCCGTACGGACCCGAATACACAAGTCCCGAAACTGAAGTCGGGGCCGGGACTACGCGATTTATAGACTGACTGGATTCCTCGTAGGGTTCGTTCTGAGGCTCGATGCCCCATTCCTTCAGTTCCTCCATATCCTTCCGGTATTGAACTTGAGGATGGGCGTAATCGTCGGCGTAACCATCCAAGCTATGATGAGGCTCGGAGTGGTGGTCGTAATACGTTGGGACTGCCACCGGAACCGGCACGTGATGATGGTGATGCGCTATCTGAAATACAGGAATTTATTGATTTCACGTTATTTAATACCGACAAAAATATTTTATACGAAAGAAGATGGAGATGCGAAAAGATCGCACGCATACCTGATGGTGATGATGATGGAACTTGGTGCCGTGGTGCGAATAATAGCTCGAGCAGAGCTTGAATATGTGAGCGAACGCAGGTATGAAGAAGAGCAGCAGTTTTAAGAAAAGTTTCTTGGCAGCGCCCACGCCGAAGAGGAACGGGATTATAAACAGAAACTTGACTTTAATTAGCTTGATAATTAGAAGAAGCGCCAGGAAGCTGGTCAACAATTTGTTCTGTATGAACTTCTCTAAAATAAAACGAGACATTATGTTCTACGTCACTAATATTCCACGGTAAATATTGAAGACTTTGAGTTTCCTTACTGATTTTCTTAAAAATGCGCCCCTGCTCTTGTACACCACTGGTACCGAAGTCTATCCTAAGGAGAGCGCCGTCCTCGTCTACCTCGCGCGGACTTATTTTCATCGTGGCACCTTCGAAGAAAAACTGCGGAAGTTGAATTTCATAATTACGAGTTGACAAAAATTTCACTGTTTTTCGTCGCAGAGCGTTCGTAATCTCCTCAAGCGGCGATCTGTCACCAAACGTTCGACCTTGCGTCCTTCTTTCTCCGACTTGTTCCTCACAGTCATTCGTATCGACATCTATGAGGTTCTCGCGAACATCGTTACGACTTTCTGTCTTAGGACACGTGTCATAAGTGATATTGTTCTTCGTAAGTATAAGACCGTCGAAGACGGTGATATTGTCCCTTTCGATGAATACATTATCGAGATACGTGTACGCATTTTTTTGTATACAAGAAAACGTCACTCTCTTCTTGCAGTCCTTGAAGAGCCCGTGCCAGAGCTCGTTTCCGGTCTCGTTGACATTTAATGTGTTAAATCTGAGAATCTTGGCGTACTGCCTGAGTTTCTCGTTGCTGAATAACTCCGAGTACGATAGCGTCATCGAAAGACACAGCAGGATTAATGTCGTTCCCCGATACATCTTCAGCATCACTTGCGGTGGTTTAACTACGTTTAGTGTGTATAATACGCATATATTTGATTTGACTTTTATTTACGTATGACCAGAAGTGTGAGGTAGCGTGCCGGAAGTGCTGCACGCTCTGAATAAATATGACCGGCACCAACTACTTGTTTAGTAACTAGAACCGGTACACTTTTGATTTCGCGAAAGGGTCATCGTCACTAATCCACGTGCACGTCGGTTTCTTTGGTATCTACCCGTGGCCGTCACACGCCCTTCCTACTTATTGGAGCCGCCGTTCAACGTCGATCTTCCCCCCTCTTCTTCGTGGCCGAAAACTCTACCGCGTCCTCCTCCCACCGCTTAGCGACCATCGATGGTCCTCTTCTTCGCGATTTCGGTCCTCGGCGATTCGGTGCGCGCGTAAGCTCTGCTGGCTGCTCGATCACGTTGCATCGCAGACGTCGACCGTCATGCTGACTACCATTATTCGCATCACTATCATCACATGTAACTTCTTCTCCGTGCACCTTTGACCCGTTTTGTCTGCTTCACCCTCCTTCTCTCTTTTTATCTCGTTCGTCTAGACGCGCTACGTTCAATCTCTCGCTTCGCACTAACCACGGGCCTCTCCGTTCTCGGTTACAATTCACCTGAGCGTCAAGTGTGTCAAAGGCCCTCCTACTCCGTCGGCGAGCTCCTCCGTGGAAGGTCATTATCGTCTCCTCTCGGACTGCAACCGACCAGGCCTGTGCTTATACGCGCGCGCGCTTAAGACCGTCCGACTCCTGGCCGCGGATCTGGTGTACACGTACGCAGGGGGGCATGTTTAGGACAAGCTGACGGAAAACGCTTCTTCTCGATCGAGTATAATTATCACGTTTGCGTGTGTCCAACATTCAGAGCATTCGGAATATCCGGTAACATTTAAAACATCAAATGTTCACGTTTGAATTTACGATCCGACCAGCTTGAGTTTTATTTCTGTAATTTTCTTCTCACTGCACCTATGTGTCAACATGCAAGATGTTTTTACGAGATAAAAATTAATAAATTCATAAATTTTATCAAATTCCACAAGATTTTATAGTTTTATCGTGAACTGTGAAATTTCTCTCTCATACTATTGATGCATGTAAATGGTACATACAAATTTTTGTTAGAATGATGAACGGTGTAAGACCACAAGAGAGGTACAGAGAATTTAATGTGTATTTTACGCGTGTATACGCATCACTGTAATATGCAATGGCATATAAAGAATTGTGATTGATTTTTCTAATTTCGTAAATTGTGCTCTAACGAAAAATTGTGCCTCAACAAAAAATTGTTCCGTAAGCGATTAATATATAATTAAACTATCGCATAGATCTGTTTGAAATTATTGTATATACGGGTCTGTGGTATGCGTCCCGGTGCAAATCCAGTTTAACTTCCTTATCTCTTATAATAACTGGATTTTAAATTGAATTTTTTAACTAAATACAGTTAATATATTATTTTGCGTGTAAAAGGTAGGTATAATATTAAAATTGTTTAAATGGAAAAATCAGTTGCAACGTGATAAATGTTACAGTAAATATTTAAAATATAAAATATTTGAAGTATATACAAGTACATCGTAGCTCTGAACATTTTTCTGTCTTGCTGTTTACAAAAAGTTTTGATGATAATCGTACGTCAATCTAAAAAATGCGAAACATTTCCTTCATTTAATTATATTAATTTTACGACGAAGGAGAGAAGCTGTGCCAAAGATTTAAATCATGTTTTAGTCGCAGTTTCTTGTGGCACTCAAATAACGAGCATTAAAAAATGATTGATTAAGGATATATTTTATTCTTTATCAAAATATCCCTCGACTGAAATACAATTAATAACTTATCAGATGAGTGATCATGTATCCAAGTCTGTCATAAATTATATTCTAAATTTTCTGTATGTATTATTCCGTATGTAGGAATGTAAACATACTTTCGGATCCGTTAATGTAATGAAATATCCACGATTGAATCACGAGAGAATTGATTTATTCTTTATGCCCACCACTATGTTCTACACTGTATTTTATTATCACTATATTAAAGTAATATCAGTGTTGTCAAACTGTAAATGTGTTCAAGCATGGTAATAAATGTCTGGCCACGTAAGCGCCATTATGACACGCACAAAAAATTATGCTAACGCAAGTCATACTCGGAAAAATTATGCACTGATCGTTAACACCGCAATGTACTTTTACTTTAAGAAATAATGTTATTTATCGCGTAACTAGATGCGTTTGGAAAAAAATATTTAATCGGTCGAGTTAAAAACCTGCTTTATAATTTACGCATTCATATCAGCAAAACATTATCAAATAAACATCACCTTGTTACATTTCTCTCGTACTCACCATCCGCTTTTCACTAATAGATTCCTGGTGAAGGTGTTCTCCTTATTCCAGCTAGAGAGGAGAGAAGTAACTCAAAGATACATAGTATCCATATCCAACCTATGTTTAATATACCTCAGTGACAGTAAGACGTATCTTCTTCAATACGCTAATAAATGGTTTCGATTATGTAATAATATACTTATTGAGATGTGAAGACGCCTGCATGTCGCATCTATTATCAATTTTATTTAAATCAAAAACCTTCAATGTTTGTAAACTTATTTTAAAAACTTATTTTTTGCCTTCTTACCTTCACTAAAACGATTTTTTTAACAAACACAATAAAATCTCAATAAATATTATAGGTTAACTCATTATGTGTTTTTACTTTCTTCCGTTTCTTCTCTTTCTTTCTCTCGAATTAAAACTTTCTCTTATATTAAACAATTTTAGCATTCGTTTGTTATTTTTATTATTTAAATGTTATTTTACAAATAATAATGTTAAATACGTAGCTTATTCCTCGTATAAACGTGTTTTTGAATATGTATGGTTTCTTGTGTGAAAAACGTGTTTTGGAAGTAGCGCATTCATCTCTCTGAATGCTCCATATGCAAAAACATGGAGGTCAAAGCCGATGCCAATAAAGAAACTGTATCTGTAAAGAAACTGTAAGTTCAATGTCTCTCTCATCGAGCAAGATGATTGGGCGGACCAAGTGAGTGGACGCGGGCAGTTTGACCGGATGAATGCCATTGACCCACTAAAATAAGGCGCTAGGTAGGTAGGTAGGTTGTAGCACATGACCGGCTTACGCGTTCGTTGCCGAAAAACGTTCGTTCACACGTACGCGCGTGAAGAAGGCGCACATTCCTCGGGATAGGATTTCACAGCAGAAATTTCGTTCCGTCGCTATGATTTGTCTTCCTTCCGTTGATGAATACAAAATATCATGTACGTGTACTCTTATTTTACCTCACTTCTTTGGGAGCTCTCGATACCCATGGAGGAACAAGAGGCTCGTTCAACATTCCAGCGTAACCTAGTTACGTCTTAGTCATAATTTATCAAATGCGGGTGACAAATGTACTGAATACTTTTTCATTTCGTGGAAATGAAGGCAGCAACGCTACTAAAAGTTTGCGTGCATTTAATTCCCCCTACTTGAGATACCGTTATTTAAAATCTCATTTGTGAAGTAGTAGTTATTAGACTTTAACATTAACTTTATTTTATTCAAATAACATTGAAATTTCTAATATAATTATAGTACGATCGAGTAGATAGAAAATTAAGTGTATCCGTGATTAATTGTAAATCAATTATAGATTTTTATCCGAGATAATTTACAGCAAAAACAATTTATTCTCACTCAAAAAAATCCTTTTTCTTTGAGTATTATTACTACGCAAATTATATCTCCGACAAAATTTTATTTGATAATTGTTTGATATATAGTCGTGTGATTTTGTAATAATTTCTATTTCTATGAATATCTGCCCGTCTGTTTTTTAAATTATCCCGCTATGTCTAATGATCTCTGCTGCAAAAGAAAACAATTTGTACCGGTCTAACTGTGGTGGATCACTTGAGATGTGCCAGTCGCTCGCGACCGCATATTAGAAAGTATTTTGAGTTTAGAGATGTGTAATTGCAAATTGCCAATTGTGTGTGTGTGAACCAGAAGTGTAAACTCCAACGGCGACGAAGCAGATCCAACGGAAAGTATTTGTCTGCGGTGCATCGAAACTGGTTTGTGCAGTACAAAGTGAACCAAGCAACTGGGACATACCACATATTGGGTGAGCAAAAAGCTGTGTGTTTTAGCACTCCTTAGAAAAAATTCATTGTGTGGTAATGACAAAGTTCATCAAAGTTTATGATCTTTCTAGTAACACTGAGAACCTTAGAAAGCAACTTTTAATTTTTCGCAGTAGCATATGGAGATATATTTTCCAAATCATCTTTGGTGAGTGTCCTACTTAGCGGAACGATTTAAGATTCATTTTAATATCTATATTCTAAAATAAAATAAATAGCATATTGTTAACTAATCGCGCATTAGAATTATAATAAAGATTACAGTTAAGAATAGATAAAAGACTAACTGTCGTAGTGTCAAACCGTCAATCATAACTTTTTCATTCCCATTCTTTAACGAAGAGTGACAACATTACTCACCCACTTACCTATCTTCTTTTACCTCAGATCAGAGACATGCGACTACAATATTATCGCACCGTCTCTGACGGAACAAATAGCATACTGCACATTGCCTCATATTATGCGGACACAGACTACTATACAATTTCCGTTACGTCAACTGAGACAGGGAAATGGCCTTCGGCTTTTGTAATAAACTTCCCAGACAGATAAGCAAGTAAACGGAAATGTCGTATGAAATATGTACACAGAAACAAATACTAAGAACAACACCTACGTGTAATATCAGTTAAGTTAATATTATCACAAATAATAAGTGATAAAGAGTTTTTGGTGTATCGAATATTTTCTTCGGCATCGAAATTTCTTAATATTTTTATAAACAATTGTAAACTTTTACATTTTCGGCGGACGATGACAATGTTATATTACAATATTTTCAAAATGATACTATTAGTACAAATAGCAAATTAAAATTAGTCGTTGTTGCATAGACTCTTTTTAATAACTGATCCTGAGATGCGCGGTAACATAGGAAAGTGATCCTCAGGCGTAGAATTGCGCTTGCACCTATTTCCGGAATAGTGGGAAGCTTCCTTGTGTCGGACGGCACGAACACTTTCACCGATTTTCCCAATCAGTCGCGAAAAGTAGCCAAGTGGTCAGTAGCATCCTGTTGATCAGTAGGTTACCTAACGGTGATTGACAGATAAGCTCGCGGTTTAAGCAGGCGCTTCCCCATCAAAGAAGCTAAAGGAGAGCGCCCCGAGAAAATCAAATGCGCGACCATAACCGCGCATGCTCGCGCGTCGTCCACTGCGACGGCTGACAAATCCGCGTCTACCGTTTCTCTTTTCGAATCAGATCGCGTTGCCACCGAAAAGATTACGTGTCGTGAGTCTCAAACAGACGGTCAACATACTAATGTGGGTCGATCATTGCACGAGTAAAAACCGCAGACGACTTGAGAATTTCGTATATAACATTCGCCATGCAAAGTATAACCGGGTTCACAAGTCAGATAATCTCAAATAAGTAAAACAAAACATTAAATGGTAAGATTGCTTAAAGATGCACCATATCATATTTCTATAGCAGCCAATTCAAAATAATTCTTTAAGGACTAATTGACATGACATTTACATGTTTGTAAAGTGTCTTTACTTTTTACGCTTCTTATTCATTTTTTTTAACATAAATTTCAAAGAATTTAAAGGACTCAGAGCCGTGACAGGATGGTAGTGTCTAAATATTCTATTCTAAATTTATTGCGAAAAAATATCACCTCGGCCAGGGTATGAACCTGGACCTCCCTCTCGCTAGGCGGGCGTCTCAACCAATTCGACCACCGAGGCACATGGCAATACTTATCGCAATAAACAGTCTAATGTTGATTCCCGAGTGCCACCTATCGTGACAGTATTCGAAAATCGAGAACTGTGTGCCGACTTGATTTGTCAGTCTTAAAACACAGTATCATCTCCACAATGTATCCCCATTATTACGCCCCCCCCCCCCGGATTAAATAATTAAATGAAAGAACCGCTTTTTCCCGTCCGCGTAATTTAAATAAATTAGTATGGCTCGTATGTGTTAAACATAAATTTCAAAGAATTTAAAGAACTCAGAGCCGTAACAGGATGGTAGTGTCTAAATATTCTATTCTAAAATTGCGAAAAAATATCACCTCGGCCAGGGTGATATTTTTAGAAAATAATTCCTTAAGTCAAACTAAAACTAAAAAAAATAAATTAGTATGGCTCGTATGTGTTAAACATAAATTTCAAAGAATTTAAAGAACTCAGAGCCGTAACAGGATGGTAGTGTCTAAATATTCTATTCTAAATTTATTGCGAAAAAATATCACCCTGGCCGAGGTGATATTTTTTCGCAATAAATTTAGAATAGAATATTTAGACACTACCATCCTGTTACGGCTCTGAGTTCTTTAAATTCTTTGAAATTTATGTTTAACACATACGAGCCATACTAATTCAGTTTTTAGTTTTAGTTTGTCTTAAGGAATTATTTTCTAAGCTTTCATAAAATAGAATATTTTTAAGTGGTGCGTTAATGTAACGTTATGCAATTTAATGTATCGTTATCGTGATTGTTTTTATAAATTACAGATTTACTCTGTTAAATATGTTGTATATAGATTGAAAAAATAACTTCTAATGGTTGCCAATGTGTTATGAAGGTTCCCAAAAAGAAAAGGTGTAAAAAGGAGAAAGTGCCGATGTGCGCCACAAAATTAACGGAACTCGGTTCTCACAATTTAGAATCAAAATTGTGAGAACCGAGTTCCGTTAATTTTGTGGCTCACATTGGCATTTTCTCCTTTCTACGTAATTCTAACGGATTCTATCAAACGATAAAATAAACTTTTTGTACTAAAATTCGCTGGCATTCAAAGTTTGATGTAATATTTCACTTTATAATAGTATACAATTTAAAAAAGAATTTGAGCGTAAATAATTGCGGGCGATGTTTTACCTTAAAAATATGCGCATACTATATGTCGAAGAAATAAAACGATGAAAAAAAATACTATACAATATGACGCAAAAGAAAAACCGTTAGCATGATCATGAATACATTTTAACTGTTCTTCAAGACGATCCGTATATATAATACATCTGTTCAATCTTGAACGTGATTGCGTGAAACGTGATAAACGATAGAAATAGCTTTCGACACCTAGTGTCGACGTTCTCCACGCTGTAGATTCTCAATCGGTATACCAGGTGTACCCGATAAAATGGATCCCGTATACTTGTAGCAACGTTCAATACCAGTTACTTACTAGAAAGTAGTAGACAGAAGCTTGGAAGACTCTTCGGAAGATTGCGCCACTACTTAATAGACAAAAATCAATTAAAATCTTAAATGTTTTCACAGAAGTAATATAATAAATTAATTACAAAGATAAAATAGAAAGAAATAGATAAGAATGATAAGTTTCTATCAAAGAAAATGTCTTTTTTTTTAAGATTAGTACATTTATTGCTAGTTTTTAATTTAATTCTTACTTGGATTGTTTCTTACGGAAGAGTTGGAATATCAGTGGTGAAATAAATTTTTCTCGAAAGTTGTGTAACAGTTGCAGTATCGTTTATTTAAAAATACAAATACATAATGGTGCCACATAATTGGTGCGCGGAAATCTAAATTTCACGTAACAAAGGTATATCTTTAGATTGCAGCTCGGTTTGCTGCAATTCAATTTCTGCATTCGAATTTGACGATAATACCTTATTAGAACCCTTTTCCGCTGTAGCCTGCCATTCATCCATGTACACCGCATTTGTGGTGAATTCATGAATAACGTCAGCAACAGATTGATCCGTGGTTGTTGAATCAACATTTTTCTCAATTACATTTACAATGGGATTAATGTGATGCTCGTCGCCGATAAAGCTTCTTCCTTTCACGTTCACTGTCGCTCCTGACTTCAAATTACCCCCTGCCAAGCCGGTACTTACGTTGGAATCTCTGTATTTGTTGACGGCGACGTAGCTTGGCGTATTCCAATTAGAAATGGTAGAACTTGAGTTCATAATTGGTGATGGCTGTTGATAATCCGGATAATCCAGATAATCAATACTTTCCGCATTCGAGATGACTTCTCCTGTCATTGGAATGCGATTAGATTCATCCGCAACTTCTGTCCTGGTCTCTTTGTCGTGTATCATCGGTCGTTTGTGGAAACTGCGTCCCCATCCACCTCCTCCGCCGTAACCGCCTCCTGAAGGTGGGCCATAACTACTTGGTGGAGGTGCACCGTAACTATCGCTATGTCCGCCACCACCACCGCCCGAAGATTTTGTAAGAAGTACTATCTCTTTGTACTGGTCTAGAAACCGTCATGATATCAAAGATGTTAGTTGTTCCTCAATATTTTAAGAAATAATTATTTAATTTTGCGTTGTTTATAGATTTCATTAAAAATTGTACATATTTATTTCTTATACCGTAGATATTAAAATTTAGGATTATCAAAGTTTTTTACTAGAGCCCTGACTAAAAATTAATAGAAACATTTGAGAATTTATTATATTAAAATTTTTTTCCACTAGAAAACAGAACGTAAAATGACAATTTCACCTCCTCCTCCTTTCCAAGGGCCATAGCCGCCTTTTCCTTTCATGAACGTCATCATTGAAAACATCAGAGACATTCCGCCCATCATCATACTTTTGAACGCTGCCAATCCTGTATTGTATTGAGGAAAAATATTTTATCATATTTTACTACCTGATGCGATTTTGAAGTCTTGTATAACAAAATAGTATTCAAATAATGTTTGTAAATACAAATGCAGGAAAATACGAAAGGAGCAGCATTACCTATTAGTTTCATTTTTAGCATCATCATCACGCCCATCATCATCATCTTGCATTTTCCGCCTTTGCCCCCTCCGCATCCGCCTTTCTTCCCTCGTCCTATAACAATTTATATTCAACAATTTAGTAGTGTAGAAAAGACGATTTCCTAAACGACAAAAGCTCCAAAGACGTTTGAAGATTTTGAGTACGCGATAGATCTTAGTGCGTCACATTTAGACGTTAAAAAAAATATCTTCTTAATCTATACTCCCAATTTAACGGCTGTTGTGCTAACCTTCTGCTACAGCTGTCTCGTCAAACATCACGTCGATCTGATTCCTTTCTCGCTTGCTGTTCCATCTAGGCAGCGTGATACGCAGAGTAAAGGAATCGAAGAAGTCATTTACGCTGCGCTCGATACTGACATCCGAGTCATTCATAGATCGAGCATCGGATCTGCGTGCTGTTCCGCTCTTCACCATCTTCACATCTTGCCCAAGTAATGTGATTTCATCGAGGCGACCTACTGTTTCTAAGAAACGGACGAAACGTTTCTTGATACAACCAAGCGAAAATTCAATGATGCATTTGCCTATGTCTTTCACGGGAAACTCCGGAAAGTCGTCTTTATTCTGCACCGAGTCATTCCTGGCCGACGGAACGATCTTTACGTCGATTTTAATACCATCTTTTGTTAAATGAAATATTCGACGTTCTACTGGTGTTCTCTTCAATTCCGCGTCAATAACGTAATCCTTGACGTTCCGAATCCCATTCTTCTCATACGCATTCACGTGGATCACGCACGTGATCAGCAAGCAAAAGATGAACATAGATTCACGCACTTTTTCACAGTAAACAGAAACAAGCGTCGATCGGTTCCGCTGACGATAACGAGACAACTTTGGCAGGAATTCTGGCTAACACTGACTGATCCCTGGGTCATCGCAATTGCTTATATACATTGAGATTTATGTCATTCGCGGTATTCTTCTGACGTTTCGTCACGATTGCCATTACGCGCAGTGAGATAAATAGACTTGTAATAATAAGGCTGAAAACGCAAATCGAAATCATTCCTCGAGCTTTAGCCACAACGACGGGTGGTACACGCAACAGCAAAAGAACTATTTCCGGATGCTGCTTTACGAACTACTATAATAAGGTGACACGCTTATAAGAACATTTGTAGGATGAGACAGTTCGTGCCACTTTTAAATTAATTATGCACGGGCGGAACAGAACAGAAATTTATAGCTCAGAGGATTTTTGCAGAATTGAAATTAAAACGATGATAAGAACCAATGAAAACGATACGTTTAATAAGCACCTGTTGACAGAATTGTTTTATTTAATTTATAGGAATGCCTTTAATTATAATATCTCATTAATTCCACATTTTTGTAGTGTCCAAGAAACTTGATCGGCTTTATCGAGTTCCTCAACACTTTTTGCAAATATAATATAAAACTATTATTTTTTTATTATATTGACAAAAATACCCTAACGTCTTTCTTAAATTACATTAGTAGTGTAAAGCTATGTCGTTCTTTGTAAGTATATATGTGTAATTATGACAATAGTTTTAATTGTTATTAAATACTTGGAACACCATATATACACGTACAATAATAATAATAATATAGGATCCGTGCGCCTTACGAACCGCAACACTTTATGATCCGATGCAGAACTGTCAGTCTGGTGGTTTAACGTTGTACTAACGTGGTGAAGGTGCCGGCCTTATTACTTGCTAATTAGTCCGTACATTCACCTTCAGATATATCTATGTTTAACAGTAACGTAAATGTAACTACCGTAACAGAAAGTACGTGCACCTTTTAGCGCGTGATGTACTTGTACGAGTGCATTTACGCCAGTTAGAAGAATTCAATTCTCTCACTTAAGCTAACAAATCTCCAATGACTATCGCTGAATCATAAGACGAACGTTTATATTGCCGGCCGTATCGCGCGTATTCCACGACTTTTCAACCGATTGCAGTTGCAGTTATTGCAATAATAATAACACTGTATGTTTTTACAAATGTTCTTTATTACAACTTTACAATAACGAAATAAATATCCAAAAATCATGTACATGATCTTGGGCAACTCTGCGTGCTCGGCGATGATACGCTTCCTCGATAGGTACCAGTCGAAAATGCAAAAGTGGCCGCAAGAAATACCTATATGACTATAAATAATAATAGGGGTGATAATTCGTGGATCGATGAAATGAGACTGAACGAGATCTTAGAAGAAAGAAGGTGTCATGATGGCGAAGGGGAAAGAGACGAGAAACGAGGTAACAGAGGGAAATGAAGGAAGGAGATAGCAGGAAAACTTGATAGTGCTTGAAGATGACAGTAAAAGAAAGAGGAAGGAAATTCGGTGAGGTAGAGATGTGCTAAAGGTTTTATCATGTACCGGCGAACATCTCGTCGAAGTTGATTGGATGATCTTAATTCTGCAAAAGCGATCTACGATCGTGCGCGTTGCCGTATTTCAGCACGGCCTGCTGAAGAGATTCATGGACGGTGTCGAGGGACCTTCCGTATCCGGAGTGTCCATATCCGTGTCCGTGATGTTCCTCCGAACTGTGCGTATGCGAGCTGGAGTATACTGGTTTGCTAACAATTTCATATGTGGTTTTCTTGTCGCCGCCGCTCGTTAAGGATTTCAATCCGATAATGGCTGATAACATGAGCGCCATGAGACCTGTCATCAGAGCTTTTCCGGCGAGGAGCGCAAGGGCACCGAATCCAACCGCGCCAAGGGTTCCCTTCATCATCATCAGACCGGCCATCAAGCCGCCGTAGCCTTTGTCGCCTTTTTTACGGCCTGTTAAATACACACGAGTCATTATTAGCTTATTTCATTATTATCTTATGTATATAACAAGAGGAGAGATTAATTATCTGACAATAAGAATGTACACTATATTTTCGTAAAAATTACATTAAATCCCAAAGTGAAATATCTCTGCCAACCGACGTTAACTGCGAGGATTCATTCTTATAGCTTTGTCAGTTGATAAAACTGAAATTAGTATTTTTTTTGGTCTAACCTGTTTCAACATTTTGGTTGCCACCTAGGCCGAGTTGCGCAAGTGTCTCTTCGTTGAAGCTCCTGGTAGCTTCAAAAGTCCTCGGATCAAAAAGTTTGATGGAGATCGAGTGGCTATTAAGGTAACTGCCAACCTTGTGAACCAAATAGGCATCCAGCCTCTTCTCAACATCATTCGGGAAGTCTCTCGCTAGATTGGCGACTACTTCCGATGCTGGAACATCGGCGGAACCGTTCTCTTTGATCACAGATACACCCGGCAGGATACCGATGTTCTCCTGCTCCGACAATTTATCCAGGAAGGACACCACGTCCAACTTAAGGCACGTGGCACTGTACGACTTCCCGCAATCTTTGTTCAAATTGGTTGCCATATTTTCCGGCGCATCTTCCACCATTTGTCTCGTGGTGCGTCTCTCGATCTCCGCGTTGGCGCATCCCGATAGAAAAAGTACCAGAAGAAGGAGATGGCAACGTGACAATTGGGCAACGTGCGTAATTCCTTTCATCGTGAATTTTTGGATATCTCCCTGAAGCCTGGCTGGAGAACGCGCGTATTCGTGCAGTTATTTTTGTCGCCCCAGGTCTACGGATCGCCAGTAACGCGACGATATCCTCGAAGACGAAGGACCTTGAAGCTGACGGATGAGACGCGTATCGTGCACTGGGCATACCCTCGGATACTTGCAGTATATATAGAGCGAGTCAACGGATAGTCCTTTTTCCTTTTTGCCTTTCGGTCGTTCCATACATTCTCCGTAGTCGAGAGCACCGGCGACGGAACTCTCTTCTTTGCGGACGTCAAAGAGGAGGCAGGGGCCTCTCGCAGCCGACCAGCGGCAGTGGCGAGAGGGAGCGTCAAATAGAGCGGAGAATTCGAATCTGAGTCAAATTTATAGGAAAAAAAAAAAAACGTTACCAATGAACGGGTATGAGATGATGAATGAGAGCGAAGGCTGATCATGTCAACACCAATTCAATCGTATTAACGGCAGTTAATGCGTACGCGTATCAGTCTTTAACAATGCAATTATTTTTCATGCGCGCGTCATTACTCCTTACGTGTTTATCGGTGTTACAGTCCATTCTCTCCATATTATTTTCACTTTTAGTCATGCTTACGCCGTAATGAAACAACTTAGAAAAATGCGGAATGTGTACACTGCACTGTGTTTTACACAGTTAACTTATAAAAAGTAATTTTATAATCACAATTTTTCCACTCGTAGAAATAGAAGTTATAAAATTATATATATACGGAGAAATGCTTACGCACAAGTCTTTATCCCAACATGATTTTCATATAATTATTTTACAAAATAATAAGCATTTGGGCTATAATGTAGGACATATAATGTAAGGTGTCTATATGATCCGGATGGCCTAGAAATCGCTCTTGCGCTATCTCGCAAAAAGATTAAACAACTACTTAAAAGGGTGGAACAGGAATCAACATTCTCGAAATTACAGGTAATGCATAATTGCAGGTTATAAAGATATTTAATCAACAGTGTTGACGAAGCGGGAGCACATGTTAATCACCAGGGTCCGACAATCGCCGTTGGCACCCGATCGCCCAGTGTGAGATCACTTTCGATTTCAAGAACGAAACCAAGAGAGCGACGGCACACATTGTGTACGCGAACGCTCCGCAAACACAGCGTGAGTAGAAATTGCAAACTGCAAAGTTCGTCAATAAGTACAATGTGAAAATTGTTATTGCGGGCGAGGCGAAACGAGACGGGAGTCCTACTTTAAATCAGCCCAGTTTAGCGAGCTCGTAGGAGATCCGATTTTCGCGCGCTACGCTCGAGCAACGGCGCTTCAGACGGATCTGCCGATGTGAAAGTATGCAGTCGATTTTCACGGGCAACTCGACGGGGCCTTATCATTGCGTGCGCGTGTGCGTATGCACAATACGAGCGCGTGCGCGTTTCGATATGACGCGCTTGCATGTCCACGCGGCAGGTGTGCCGACTTAGAACGGACTAGCCTTCTTTCAGAGGCATCCATTTCGCCATTTGTTGCTTCCTTTTCACATGGTGCCTTCCTTTCGTTAATAATCTCGAACACGCCGTGCTGATTCTGCTCCGGCGAAACTATGTGCGACAGATCGAATCAGTGGTGGGCGTCGGCTTTACGCTCGTGAACATCGGTGAAAAAGGCGGCGCGGGGACGATCCTAAAAATTCTTTCTCATTCGTCTGCGTTGCTAATTAAATCGAAAATCGTAGTAATGAAAAAGGTATCTCGTTACGTGGATTGGACTCAGCCGCATTCATTCACGCACTCATTCTGACGTTGCGATTCTTGTCACGTTTTTTATCCCATCAGATCTCAATCAGAACCCGTAATATAGTCTGTATTTCCTGTTAAACTGCCAGGCATTAGTTGAGACCGCAATGTTGCGCTGTATTTGGAACACTCGATAAAAAATCAAGTTTTTCTCACCTCACAGTTTACCATCAAATAGCTGGCGATCGATGGAGACAGAAAGGGTTAATCTTTATGTGAATTTATTTAACAGACTTGACATTTTCAAACTTTTCTTATGAACTTTACAACGAATTTAGGTAAATGGAATACTAATTCATAAGATAGCTGGCGATAGATGAAGACAGAAATAGTTAATCTTTATTTGAATTTATTTAACAGACTTGACATTTTCAAACTTTTCTTATGAATTTTAAGATACAACGAATTTAAGTAAATGGAATACTAATTCATAAGATAGCTGGCGATAGATGAAGATAGAAAGAGTGAATCCCTATTTGACAGGCTTGACATTTTAAATTTTCTCATGAATTTTACGATACAGTGAATTTAAGTAAATGGAATACTAATTCATAAGATAAATGATATTATATTAGATAATATTATTATCAGAATTAATATTTCTAAAATGAAAATACGAACTTTCTAAAATAGAAGAGAACTTCTTGTATTTCCTTTTTTCAAGATCCTTGCTTAAATGACTTTTTAATATATGAAATTGGAAAGACAAAATACAAAAGCTTTTTAAGTACGGGCTATTCCGAAAACAGAAGACAACATGTATTCGCAAGTGCGAACACATCACGGTAGGCGAATTCGTATGAAGACTACACTGAGAAAAATTTTCATCGGATAAACCAATTAAATAGTATGTCCGATGGTTAATTTTTCCGATTACGTTTTCCGATTAAATTATGGATATATCCGATGAAATTTATCCGATGAAATGCAATTACCGATGAAATTTGATTGAAAAACCGATCAAATTTTTCATCGGATATACAATTTAATCGGATATATCCGTTTGTTATCATGTAATTGGATTATCCGATTATATTCAATCGGACATTTCTCTCAGTGTATGATTGTGCGTTCGCCCCATAACGCCATGGTTACCCCATTTCCAGTCGAAATTGAGAGAGTCGTTGTTTTAAGAAAGTCGCTCGCACTCACCCAACAATTTGCGACAATTCAGGGAATGTTCACGCTGGATCAGAAAATGTGCCAATAATTTCTCCCTGACGATTACCGCGGTAAATCGTGTTCTTACGCATCGAAATTGTTAGAATGTCAGCACAGTAGTACTGTTAGGAATTTTAAAAAATATGCGTAACATGGAGAAATTGATTGTCTTGGAAAGCTGGAAATTACCGAGCCCGTCTCGAACGTTGTTTACCATATTCTCCGTTAATAAACGGTACCTGCAAAATTTTTACGGACGGCCTGCTTGCTTCCAAGAAAACAATTGTTATCCTTCTCTCTCTTTTGACATACGCACAAGCATACAAATCGTTGTTATATTCCATAAGCGGCTGGGTACTACCGCTCCTTTGCCGCAGAAAACTCAAAAGTCCAATGGTTTAAAGGGAAAATCTGTGATTCGTCATTTTCATTTCTGATATTTGTACAAAATAGTATTTTGTTGTATTCATTTTTCCTATAAAATTCTTACAAATGTTGTGGTAAGATGACTTCTGCTACATTAAATATAGTCTGATAATAAATTAATATAACTAAACAACACACGAGAAGAGGCCGATGCGGGTCCAAGGCAAGATGTAGGTAACCCGTACTTGTAATTTTTTTTTAATGTGAATTCATATACCGTTTCTCTCCACCTTTGTCTTGCGAGCCGCTTTCATTGCGAATTAATATAAATTAATATGTATGTAGGTATATATAATATATTAATTACATATATATTAATTAAGAAAGGCTAGAAAAATAAGATAATTTTCGCAATTAAATATGTTAATTTATTTTAGGAAAGCGTATGATACAAATACGCGCATATAGTGCGTATATGATTTATGCGTCGAGGTGTGAAACAAGAACGAAAGAAGAAAGGTAGAATTACCGCATCTAATACACCGGGTGCTGCTCGAGTGATTGCATAGACCTCGTTAATTTGAGAACGCATATCCGTTATGTACTCAAAATGCATCGCGTGCATTTATACTTTCGCAATTTTTTCGCGGCGGTCTAAAGTGAACGTTACATACCGCGAATTTCTTCTGCCTCAATGGCGGGGATTTATAAGAATAGACCAGTCTAGAGCCACCATATTACGTTGCGATTTTCTCAGTGAGTTATATTTCAAGCAAACTGGTCGCTGTTGGCCCAGTCATGTCAAGATATAAAATAATTTATTGCTGCAATGATAGTCTTTCGATCAAAGAAACGTGCAAGAAATTCTTGGATCTACTTTCCTTGGATCTACTTAACTAAAATAAGATATGAATACTTCCGTTAGCACTCGCGAATTTAATATATGTATGTAGAATGCTTCTACGATATATAATATTTACAAATGTCATTTTTATGAGATAAGAATAGGATAATGACGTACTATGTATATTGTATATTATATCAAGCTATACACGTACAAGAGATTTGTTCAACGGTTTAGTTTTTCATTAAATATATATAAATTAATATGTTAAATTTGTATACAAAATTATATAGAAAACCATTTCAAGTTTTACATGATATGTACGTGTAAATTTATCAAAAGAAATGTAATAAAAGAAACTAGTATTAAAATATAAAGTATGTCATTTTTAAATGTGTATAGTGTTATTAAAAAACTTTATTAGTTTAAATTTTATTAAGAAGCAAAATATTATATTTTTATAGAAAATAATTGTAAGAGTATTTTAAAAAATTATGTCTACAAAAAATCTTCACAATTTAATGTCTTTAATGTGATTTAACATGTCTATAACTTTTGTATTATCGTATAAGAACAGAATGCAACAGTTCTCAAATTTATTTATAAACATTCTGTTATATTTTAATTATTATTCATAAAGAAAATTACTCGATAATTTACACGAATAAGTTAAAGTGATTGGATGATAGAATTGCAAGCAATAAAAATTTTATTAACACCACTTGGATAAAGAATCACACGTGAAAAGTGAACATTTTACTACGTGCAAAGTGTCTGCGATCTTATAAACAACAATATATTCTCAAAGACTGTTGATTAATGCCTGACAAAATGAGCATCAGAGAGAGGCGATCAGAGCTTGCGTTCCTCATCGCGTTCGCCACTTCTCGACGGTGCTGGCCTCTCAAACAGCCCATATATACCCGTACTCGGTGTTCCACTCCTCTCGAGCGACTCAACTAATCACAACCGATGCCGTTATTTCAGTCCCTACCACGAAGGCCACGGTCGTATCTACTGGTAGAAGTGGAGAAGCACGTGGAGGCATTGACACACTGACCTTGTTACGTGCGGGACATCGAGGGGGAACTCGGTAGACCAATCACAGCTACGATCCGCTTTCCTACCTTACTCCCGACACAGTAACCTCGTTTCCTTCCTCTTCCTAGTTCCCCACCTTGATCCGGTCTTTCTTCGCTTCTCCCACCAGCGCAACATCATTCCATCTTTCCTCCGTCCATGAACCTCCATCTAGGTCATTAGCCTTCTCGTCTGACTGACTGAGTAACCTGCTTACAACTATATACTTATATGTATATGTGTATATAGCCCTCTTTTTCGATATTTATTTAATTATTTACAAATTGTAAAATTCCTGTCGCAAATAATCCTTATTATGGAAGTTGCGGGTAACACGTGCGCATTTAGGTCGAGTATTAATAAGATGTGACATATTTGAGCTTGGCAATTTACCAGTCGTCGCAATGATACGACATTTTTGACAGTTCGCCGATGTCATGGTGATACTAAGTCTCCCATATCTCCCAATGATGAAGACAAAAGTTTATAAAAAGATGATCGATTTTATTTCATACAGCAAGCATATGCGGACACGCAATAAATAAATAAATAAACGATGCAAATGGCAAGGGGGACATTGCATTTTATGGAATGTCATGGTACGGATAATGTTCGCCACTGTGTTCCGGCGCCCAGCCTTTGTAGGGTTGATTGATCTCCTCCTCTGACCTGTGCCAGTGATCGTGATGAATTTCGTGCGGTCTTACGATTCCGTAGGAGACCCTTGGCGGCGGCGGTGGTGTAACAAGGGCCTTTAAGGCGACCGCGCCGGAAATCAAAAGCGACATGAGGCCTGCGCCCAGGCCCTTCATACCTATTAGGGCGATCATGCTGATTACGATAGGCAGAACGATTATTGCTTTTAGCTTCAGCAGGATCAAGAGTGGCATGATCATCCTCTTCAATTTCGTACGCGCTGTAAGCAATATATGCAATATCTTGTGGGTAATGATTGTAAGCGGTGATGAAGTCATTTTCTTAAAATTATTAGTCAATGCACGCGTGTAGATCTGAATTGTTGACAATTATAACAAAAGAAGGTGCGAAAAGAAGAATGTTCCAGTATCGAATTATGATACGAGTCGTATATGTTTAGGGTTTGTAAGCGTATATGTAAGGTATATAAACGTTGCATTAAGTATAGGAATGTGGGACACTTAATTAATACATAAAGATGATATCAATAATCGCGGAATACTTGGATGATCGAGGATTTCTAAAAGACTATAACGGACGCGTTTATCATCCAGTCTACTTTCTTCGACACGCGACACTCTCGTTCAAGGTCCTTCTTAGACGTCTTCTCGCGGTAGCCGTCCCACAAACCCGGAATCCCACCAGATCTACCAAATGGTAACCCACTTTGGTCCACTCCCACCTTTGGCATTTGTTTTCGCGAATATGGTAGAAGTGGAACGCGTCATAGCTTTCTACGTACGAATCCTTCATCCTGGTCGCTCTCACCTCCCTCTCTCAATGACCATCGATAAACGTACATTATACGTATCCAAATTTTTCAGTATTTTCAAAATTACGTGGAAAAAAATGTTTTACGTACTGTAAATACGTGAGAAAAAAAATTCGAGAAAATTTACGAGTACGAGAGAAGCGACAAACTCTAGAAAAGTGGGAGCTAGAGAGAGAGAGAGAGAGAGATACATGGAGGATACGTAAATGGTATTTCGGCCACGATCGAATTGAAAAGAAAGATACAAGTTACACTTTCCAGCCAATGAGTCCCGAGATTCGTGAGCTACTTAAACCCCATTGGCGAGACTTTAGAAAGGTGAGGCACTATAAGTTTGCGCCCACTGAATGATGTATTCATACCAGATCGGAACGTTAGAGAAGAACCAGAAACTTCTGTTAGACACAAATATCTAACACAAGTCTGACGAGGGTCTAACAAACATTTTAATGTTATTATCAAAAACTTAGTTGCAAACGTATTTGCGAAAGAAAAGTACAAATTTAATAATTTACGTGTAAGAAAGATGAAGCGTAAGAAAACAGTATTTAACATACTGATCCCTAGAAAAATACAGCGTTCATACAATATAGGCAAGATTAACGTAGATTTAATTTTATAGACTTAGGGCCGGTTCTTCCAACCTCTTGGTAAGCTAATAGTTTAATTATATATATCTTTGTTTAATTTGAAGGAAATACAAAGACATACACATGATTTAACTATTAGTTAACTTACCAAGACGTTGGAACAACCGGCCCTTAATGGATTAAAGTACTTGTTTACAGGTTATTTAAAAATATCTTTAAAGATTTTGAAATATTTTCTTCGAGACATAGAAATATAATACCATTGCAAGCAGATATTATTTGTTATGACATTTTGTAGTAAAAATTGTAACATCCAACTATTTTTACATTCCAAAATTATTGCTTTTTTATTTTATGGAAATTGCAATTTAAAAATGCAACCTGTACAAGTCTTATTAAAGATAAATATTTCGAATGACATTATCATTAGTAGCATATTTCCCCAAATTATTCTAACAATTTCTCGTTGTGCAAATTCACAAAACTGAAAGGTGTACGCCACCTCTCGTTTACAAATTTGACAGCATTCTGTTCTATTCATTAAATTAAGTACAAAACAATCAATTTCGTGTTTTCTAATTTAACTTTCAACTTGTACGACTTTTTTCGTAATGCATCAGTTTACCTTCGGATGTTCCATGTGCCAAGCTTCTGAGGTCTATATCGACGTTTCTCTGACCGAGGGCGCGTGCAAACAAACCAGCGGTTGAAGCGTCATTAGGAAGATTAATTTGTATCTTTCGAGTCTTCAGGAATTTTTCAATCCTGCTCACGAGCGGGTCCACGCTCTCTTCCGATAGTTCCCCATCTTCCGAAACCTTTTCCAAGGTTACTATATCGCCGTAAACATCGATGATGTCCTTCCTGTTGATTTCGTCCATCGTTCTCATGAGCTTCCCTTCTAGTTGTTCCAAACTGTTTCCATTTTTCTGGCTTGGACTGCCTGCCACCAACGTCAGCAATTGCAACGCTAAGAGAACGATTACCTTGGTCTTCATTGTTACAAAGTGCTATATGCGTGCCTTTGAAGAAGCGTTTTTTGACTGTTTGCCCCCAGAACCATTTTTCTTTTATACGAGCCACGATCGACTAGTGGTGGGGCTATACTGAACCATTTGGCAAGCAACGTGCCAGGGCAGTGGTGTCAAGAATTTTAATTCTGCCGAAGAGCTAACTTAACCATGCAATGCACAAGGATCGCGTGACGTAGGATACGCCGGTACGAGCAAATTTTCCTTTTACTTTCGAAATTTTACTATCGAACCTAGAAAATTTCTTACACCTTCACACTCAACAATCTTTCCCCAATCGAAACTTAACGAATTGCAAAATTTTAGAAAGTAATGGTTAGAGTTTTTGCAATTGAATAAAATTACACTTCAAAATATCATATTTCATCGATTAATTGCTCTTCTTTTAGCGTTTCCATTTTTGTGCATGAATTTGTTGCAGAAAAGAAATCTGTCTCATTTGAGAAATTTCTAATTTATTTGTATGCATCTACAGTTTATTTGCATCACATATACATACAATGGTCTGTAAGGTTGGCTCTGAGCAATTATCATCTCCTATGTTTACGATCAGCACACATCGGCAACGCACAGTCTGGTGAAAATTAGATTTCCGTGTCTCTTGGTGACACGGTATGGTATGTAAAACTTGTGTCCCAAATCATGCAGTCGGAAGTCACTCGAACAAGAGAAATGGAACGAGCGGCAGCAGTGGCGGCCAAGACGAAAGAAAGACCGAAGAAAACAGAAGTGGGAGTGCAAATGAACCGTAGGCATGCCGATTGGAGCTCATATACGATTGGAATCGGGTATGAGCTCGGCCGGCGACAATTGCACGCCGAAGGCTGTCAATATTTCACGCTAGTAGAAACTAATCACGTACGAGGTTTTCTATGCACCGCGCTGCATCGAATCTTACCGTGGCGATAATTTCTCCAAATTAGAAATTTAATACTGATTTGTATTTAGCAAGAGCGGAAGAGAAAAAAATTGTTCACAAATACTTCTCGGGGATATTCCTTTATGAATAATTTATTAAATGCAAACAACGTAGTTATTTAATACGTACAATTAAATAAATATTTATTTAGTTGATAAATTACATATGACGTACATAAATACTATAATCTATCTAGCAGTCGTAGGTGGGTCCAATGGCCTCGAGAAGGTTTTTTGGCTCCGCGGGATATGGCTTTCGGATAATTCCAAGTCTCTCCATGGCAGATAACACGAAAGGAGTAAAAAGTCTTGTTTAATCGGTACCGTTGTATACCGGTGCGTGCGCGGAATATGCTAAATCCTGGGCGTCGTTTTTCGCGTCGTTTTTCGCGTCAGCTACATCGAAGCTTCTATATCCTTGGTGCTGCAATCCTGAGGGCCCAGCGGAAGCCCAACTTCCAGTGGCACCATTGTCATACCAAAGAGGCGCAGGATTCTTATTGAAGAAACCACCAGCCCCGCTGCCGCCGAAGAACTTTTGGAATGCCATGATACCGGCGACGATCAAGGCGATTTTACCGTAGACTAAAGCTTTGAAGGTCAGCAGGGCCAAGACGCCGAGCAAGATCGGTGCCAGTGCAAAAATCTTGATACCCGCTGCGGCAATCAGCGGCAGAATCATTTTCTTGATTTTGGCACGTCCTAATCATCAGAAGAAAAAATTAATGTAATTGGTATTAGACTCTAAGATTATGAGATTGACGCAAAAAAGGTATCAACAATATGAGAAACTAAAGTTAATTTAGTTATTTAAATGTGCAAAGAGATGAAACTCGTATTTTAATAAATAATATAGAGGTGTCGATACAAATTTAATAATGTATTTGCCGGACTATAAGACTTTAATATAATAACTTTAACGTTTAACTTTTTTATATAAACAGACATTTAAATTAATATTGTTTATATATTTGAACGATATAAAAACTGCATAATTGCATTTAGAAAAGAAATGTGATTTAATGTTATATCCTAATTTAATAGTATAATTAAAATTTGCTCAAATCGTTTGAAGTTATACATTTAAGAAGGAAAGCGAATTATTTTTTGTTGAAGAACGAGTTTACCCGGAACAGGTCTGACGCCGTATATATAGATATCGCGAAGGTGAAAGGCATGCTGAGACGCTTATTCGTTTATACTCGTGACGTCGCGAATTCGTAACGTTAATCGAATAGACATAATCAAGGTGAACGATTGCATAATCGAAATACTTAGGTAAAAGGAATAAGATTTTACCTTCATTCAAGGCGCGAGACATCGAACCTTCAGGTATTCTGAATTTCAAACTATGACTCTTCATAAAAGAGACAGCCGAATCGCACAGCATATTGAAAAGTTTTATCGTCCTGTCGGACATATCTTCTGGTAATTCATTCATGATCGCCTTCTCGTTTATCTTCAAACTCTTGCCAATGCGCTCCGCTATAATAATAATAATTTTAATAAGAAGAATGATTATCAATTGTTATCATAATTATTATCCCTTTCAGTGTTCACAAAAATTGATGAGAAATACAAATTGTGCCCTTTCGCATTGTTTTCATTCATGTTATGAGAATATAATTTTAAGAAGAATATTTAGAAATAGGTACAGTTTCTTTAGAACTAACAAATTCTTCAATATTTAGATTCTTACTGTATTAATTTAATACAGTAATCTATAAGTAATATATAATATTTGTTACATTTTATATTAATGACTTTACAGCAGTAATGTTATTTCATTAAACTGGATTGATGTACGGTTAACATTTAAGAATGATATATATTCATATATGTTTAATAACTTACCCGGGGTGTCTTGTACGAAAGTCACGCCTTCAACAATCTCGATATTGCTCGATCGAGCCGCTCTATCGAGAGCACCGATGGCCTTTACGAAGATGCAGCTGAAGAACTCCTTGTCGTGCTCCAAATTCAGGCAATTGAGATCCTGAGACGGTTGCACAGGAACGGGCGCAGGTCCTGCCGCGGTATACGCAGCGAGGAGGAGCAGTGCCAGCAATTTGTTCATCTTCCTCGTCTAATCACTCGTCAAGTCGTCACGGAACGAAACACCGAGAGGCAGTGGCCGGAGACGGAGCAAACTACTCTCTGGAAAATTTTCGGAACAAAGTGTGACCTGGCCCTGCGGTGCTTGAATCTTTATAGGTGTGCACCATGTAGGACCCTCCTCAGTATCCCCACTCTGGATGACGACAACGTGTATGACGACAAGGAACGACGAGACGAACGACTCATCATTGCAGGTAAACGCCAACCACCTCCCCAGAAAACTTTCTTCGATAATTTTTAAACAAACGAATGACTGCGTGGAGAGACGCGTCACTACTTGGGCGGACCTAGAAGTCGCTCTCCCTAACGTCACCGAGAGAAGTTTACGTTTACCACAGTAACCATTCAGAATTTGGGTCAGTAGGGGAGGTAGCGCTTAGTATATCAGGGATTATATGGAGAAAGAACCTTTGAGGCCGCTATATTTGAAGAAAGTACTAATTCCTAATACCTTAGCGACAACTTCCTTCTTTACGTTGAGCCTATCTTATAATTTCATTTAAAAAATAAATACTTCATATTATTGTAGATTTTACTTCTCCGGATATATCTCTCACTTCTTTTTTTCACCTGTAAGATTAATAACGTTTTGACATGTGGCACTTTCTGTTTGTTCTTCACGCACAGTAAATTGTTTAGAAAACCGATAACAACGGCGATGACAGACGTGCATTTCGCACCTCGCCGCCATTCATGGTTGCACATGCTTCGCGGTCGCAGATATACGCTTTTCTTACGAGTAGCGTGTGTGCATGTGCATTTAGGTGACGCTAAATGTGAACAATTCCCAGTAGTAATTTTCCTTTGAATTGTGAGTAAAGCAAACGCAGAATACATCACGGAGTACACAATTTTAGATTATAGATTAAATAAACTTAAAGATATTAAACAAACATATTAAGTGTAAATAACAAATATTTTAAACCTATTGAATCTGTTTGCAACATTGTTGATTTAATAACGCATTAATTTAGTTTTAAATATCTTTTTGTAGCAATCCAAGCATCATAATCCAGCTTCCTTTATAAATTGGAACTGATGCACTCTCCTATAACCAAGCACGTGCACCAAGTTGCTTACCTTGACCCAGCCACGCGATCGTCGGTATTACATGAACTATAGATTACGTTTTCGACAGGTTTTCTCACATAACTTGAGTTAAAAATTTTTTACTACTTTCGTGTCCGATTATTTTATTATGTTGTCATTGAGTATTGTAAACTGTAATTATTATATAAAAAACACGAGAGATATTGTGATCGATATTTCCAAATACCTCGATACTTAGTGAACAATATCCAGGTATACGATAAACGATTACTGCAAGTTTCCTTTGTTTTTCAATTTTGTTACAATCGCTCAACTCTGACTTACAAGAATATTCATCGTGTAAAAATTGCATTTTTCAAAAATATTAAAAGTATTGAAATACAGATAAAAGAAACGATTGTTATAGTCTTAGAATTGTTATGCAAGTATACCATAGATAGATTTTTGTTGTAAAATAGAAAATAAATAGTTGATTTTTATGAGAGGTCTCACATACGCTTAACAATTGTAGCGTTAAATATTGATTTTGTTAAATTTATATTTAAGAAGATATGTACTGAATTATACATGAGAGAAATTGATATAATATGACGAAACAATAAATGATAAAGTCATCATCAAGGTTACTCTTCACCACTTGAGAATGTAACAAATAACTTATTCACGGGAGGTATTCCATTGTACTCCACGCGAATCTGTTTAAATATTTAACAGGTACAGGAGGGACTTCGTCATCTTCATTTAACGGTATTCGACCTGGAAGGAACGCAGACAATTTTGTGATTAATTTTCTGGGTTAGGAATACTATCGGTTACTTCCGTTTACGAATATGATATTTCGGAGAAACTCACGTGGCTATTCTTAGCTGCGACAAATTTATCTGTATTTAAAAGATATATTTTTCTTTTAGGAAAAACGAAAACTTTAATAGTTCTTTATTCAAACTGCAAAAAGTCACTAATTAACATATCTGTCAGTAACGATGCCCAACGCAAACAATTATCAATATCTATGTACAATATTTGATGTATGCATATGTAAAACTTTATATTTCTATTATAAAAGTGATATAATGTGAAGTATATAACAGCCCTTTACGAACGTCTCTAGCTGTACAGGATCTTAGAGAATCAAAGGTTGATGACTTATATTCGGGTCAATTCCAGTCATCTTCACTTTTTCCCGTTTTATTTCACGTGAAGAACATTCCTTTTCTCCCTTCCAACCGTTTGGTGCACAGTTCATTATGTTAATATTTTGGAATGTTTAAAAATGTTCACATTTTGCAAACAATAAATGTTCCTGTAGTAGTTACAATATTTTATTTTTTTCATAATTAACAGTGACATTTATATTTTGATCATACAAAGTTATATAAACGTGTTGTAATTATAACATTCACGAAAACTTTTATTGGAAATATATCTATTTACATAACTCTGAATAATTCAACTTGGACAGTTATGAAGAGAGAAATGCGAGGAGGATACGCTATCTGCAAACTAGTTTCTCGCGGAATCAAGAAACTTTCTCTCTTTCTTACATCACACTAGTGAAATGAGTTGAGATACATTGAGAACACTCATTTTCGAAAAGAAATTTTGTCCGAGATATTGCAGTAGTAAAAGGGACGCGGAGCTATTATCGCGATGTAATAAATTAACTATAAGTAAATTATATATATTTTCGTTGTAGCGTGTGCGGGTTTCATAGTTTTTAACAACAATATATCAACAATCAGTTATCGTATTTAACACGATAATCGTAAGCAGTTAACGTATCACCATTATAAAATTTTTCATTCATGTTAATATGAAAAGAGAAACCTTTACAACACTAGATATATGTATATGACAACGCTTCGATTATGCTTCTTTTGAATTTATTATATTTACAATGTTTGACCTTATTGTTAGTGTAATCTCTTATCATATTTGGACGCTTAAATAAATAAATAAATAGAGCAAATAAAAAATTAATTAAAACTATAAACAAATACAGCTCATTCTTAATTTTATGTTACGTCAATCCATTTAGAATTCTTTAAAATTAAAGTTAAAATAAAAATTAAATTAGTACTTTCCTACGGCAAATACATTATATATCAGAATAATCGAGGAACAAACGAGGAACTTTATTGTCCATTAACAATTCTTTTCACTTCTTTCTACGTCGTTCTTTGTAAAATCGATAAGGTTCCAATTCTTGCACTTCATCAATGAAACCGTACACATCCTGTCGCCTGTACTTGTTATAATCGTGGCTGCTCTCCTTCTGGGCAACCTTTTTTAACCCAACTATGGCTGCCAAGATCAAACTCATCAAACTCAGCACAACAGCCTTTCCACTTAGAATAGCCAGTGCCTTTAACATGATGGGCAATAGAATCGATTTTATCAGCAAAAATCCAATAATCAAAGGCAGAACGTACTTATTCAGTTTTTTGAACTTCTTATCACGCCCTGCAATTAATAAAAAAAGAGAAATATTTAGTAGATATGAATAGGTATAGTAAGAATTACGTAAATGTTACACATTTTAAATTTATATGCATATCTTTCATACACAGCAGTCATGTAAAAAACCACGGCTGCTAAAAAGTAAATATACATCTTTTATATCCCCACTCGATACATCCTATACTACATTGTCCGTAACGTTCTACTAATCGTTACACATGCTGACTTTAAAAAGTTATAATATGTTATAAAAGTATCTTGTTCCCTCGAAAACCAGGATGTGCATACCGGGCTTGATCGAAGTATAAACTTCCTTATTAGGTACGATCGTCACGGAAGTTAATAAAGATGAACTAGAGTAGAAAGCAGTTATGTTTTTGTACCGGGAGGCTCCGCGCGTCCGTAAACCCAAAAGTATCATAACGTAATGGACAACATGTGCAATTACACGCTCCTTTAACAGCGTTTGATTAATACGCGGTCTCATAATTCCATTTCGCAGCAAATTATTCAAATCTTTGATTACTTGAAATACCGCGCTAGATTTGCCATTTCGTTATCCCGTAATTCCCTCGGTCTATTTATGTACATATATTACGTAAAATTTGCTGTAAAAAGCTTACGGTAGTGTCGCGAAGAAAATGTTTACCAATGTATACTAAAACACAATCAGGCACTTTAAAGATGTCATTTAATAGCTAATGAATTTTGCAATAATTTAACTTTTACTATTTGACATTTTATTAATATAATACAATCATATATTTATTATAAAGTAGTAAAGTAGTAAAGTAGTAAAGTAGTAAAGACATATTAATTTTCTTTCTTTCGTGCCTTAATCTAACACAATATTTTTATATTTATACATAATATAAAAATTTGACATTATAATATTTAAATTTTATAAAAACGATTAAAGAGCTATAATTTTTTAAATCAATGATGGCATTAAATATTTGAGTAAATACGCTAATTATTAATATAATAGTATTTTTTGTTAAAAGTTTTTTTATTTAATTATATATTTTTTAATTGTTCTTCTCTATACGCACTGCTTTATTATCTAATGCTAATATATCTAAGAAAATAGAATAAGACAAAATCTAAATTTTTTTGTCTATTAAATACCAAACATGCTAGATTAAAATATGGGTAGAATTTTCCCGGGCTACATGCAATCGCAAATAAGAATTATTATTAGTACCTTCTACATCATTGTACGATTTCGAAATAGGAAAAACTGTATCAATGGTGTTCAAAAAGCTTTCACCAATCCAGTCTAAAGACCCTCTAGAGTCGTTCCGCAGCATCTCGCGGTCCAGTGTCTTCATTGATTGCGATCCCTGTGCTGCGACGAGGACAGGTAGAAAGAGTAGCATGTACAGCAGTAACATCTTTCCGGCATCTAGACTCTTTTTATTCCTTTTTTTTTAAATATCTTTTTATAACACACTCTGTAATCACGTTTTATTTCGGGAAAAAAAAACTCCGCGATCGCGACCGACCTCTTCGCCAATGTTAACTGACATTCGTGCCAGACCGGGCTATTAGTTTATATAGTGGGACCGCGAAAAGCTCAGAGGAGGAGACTGCTCATCTAACTTGGTACTGATGCGTGACGAAGGATCCAACGTCCATTCCCGTACCTCCCGAGCTAGTCTACCACGATCATTGGACGCTGTTCGCGTCGACCACTCTCAAGAACGACGAATCTTCCCCGGAATATTTCGACCGGGGTAAGTAGATCGTTCTCTCCGTCAAACGTCCTCGTCATTACCTGTCCTTTGTCGTGAGAGTGTGCGGCATCTATTATCAATTCAGCTCGTTTTACACTCGAGCAGTTACGGCACGAAGACGAGCTCCAGCTGCCACGACCTTACGGCCTGTTTATACCGACAATAAAAAAAAAAGTATACCACCGGTAAATTAAGCTGTTGTATTGCAAAAGCGAATCTATAATTAAAGAGAATCAGTCGCGTTCCAATTATTGCAACGATAATAATCGGTATCTAATTTCAATTAAAGCCCAGCTCTTATTGCACGATAAAATTTTACGAATGTTATGCTGTACTGTAAAGAAGCTAAAATAATATTGACAAATTAATAATAATGTTAACGATCAATTAATATTGAAAAATGTCGACAAACTGCTAGTGAATGATATCATACGATCTTTATTATGCAGTGTATAAAACTGAGTATTAGTCAATAATTGTAAAAGAAAGTGTATTTGTTCTTGTTAGAAATCAACTTTTCAATTAATAGGTAAAGACTGCAAAAAAGGCCTATTTTCATGCTCATCGATAATCGATTTTCTATCAACGTCACAAAAAATGATGTTATACGCTTGAGCACGATAGATAAACGTCGGAAAAGCAGTAAAGAGTAACGTTTTTTTATGATTTACGTTAACCACGTTAACGAAATCAGATTTTTAGAAATTATTTATATAAATCAGAGTAATCACTTTTCTTAAATAATTTTCGTTACGGGCGAAGAATGTATTGTCGTTAATGAAATAACGTCACGTTTACTGTTAAACGGATCCGAGACGTACCTTCTTACCCCGAAAGTAATTTTTTGGGACTTTCATGCGTGTTTAAATTTGTAGCTTAGTATCTTTTATTACTTCATACCGTTATGTACACTTACACGTATATATTAATGTTATTATACGTTCATTTACTTTACGAGCAAAGCTGTTATATCACTAATGACAGACTCCTTCTTTGTGAGCGCCTGTTATTTGCCAAAATTAGGACTACGGCTAACAACAGTAATAACAGTAATAATAGTTCCACGTGAGTAAGCTTACAAATGATATTCATTACGCTCATAAATCTAGTACAGAAATCACGCGATATTGTTTGCCAGTGATGCTTTTTGTTTATTGTAAAAACAATTGCTGGTTTCCAATATCTCAGGAACATAATAATTTAAGAGCGTTCTTCGAGCACTTGTAATAACCATAACTGCAGCGATAATACGTAAATATGACGTTATATTTTGTCAGTCATAAAATTCAGTGGTGCTTATTCCAAAAATTATCGAAGCCCGTGTTAGGCAGAAAAAAAATAGCAGCAATGATTTAACAGATGTAACCAGGCGCCAGTAATACGCACGGGATCAACGTTGCCCTTTTCATTTCGTCTTTCGATATTCCCTCTACTCGTAACGGTCATTGTCATTTGGGGTTTGCGAAAAGAACAGTCAAATTACTCTTTACTTCCTCTTTCCAAGAATCGGCAGCAATACATCTAGGTGACATATAAATAAAACTACCGTACCGATATGTGGGTTGCCGGCTTCATACACGAGGGACTTGACTAATACGCTGCTATAATCTGTCTTCGAATAGCCAGTCTGGTGATTTCAATAGCGACAGACATTATAATGCGTAGGCAATATCTTTTATTAGCGAATTAGAAACGATACATTGAAAAAGACAATTTTGATACCAGTGCGTAATCAGTGCGTGCAGGTTTCCTGCGATAGTAAATATACAGGTTTATTACTCGTGAAACTGGCTCGACGCAACATCCGAGAATGAAGAAAGTCACGGAGAGAGTACATACGTGATAATGGCTGCTAAGTATTAGCTTGTCCGATGTGGTGCATGTGACTCGTGATTTTTAGAGCAGATAAGAACCTGATGATTGTTGGAAACTGTCAGGCTATTAATCATTCAATAAAACGGAATCTCGCGCTTAGAACGTAACGCTTTGTGTCATCAATCTCGTGCGCGAGCATCCGATACGTGTTTTCAACGCTTCGTCTTAATTACGCAAAGTTGTTCAATGATTTCACCGCGATTTACCGCAATTTAATGAGCATTAAACGCCTTAATGTCTACCCACTCTGTGGAGTAACATAAATTCACTTTATATCGGTTAAAATTTCGGTGTCACTCTCGCGCACAATTTGTCACATTACTTTCTTATTCGACAAGTGGCGCAAATTAAAGTCGCCGTTTCATTTGAATGCCAATGTTGTGTAACTTCGTAGAGAAATATTTCCCTGACACTTAAATGGTGCCACTGGAGAAACATCGGAGCAGTACAAGTAGGCAACGGAGAATTTATTAAATCAGTTAAGTAACCACCTGTGTTGTCCTTATTATGTCAAAATATTGTATCTGTACTATCTTTGAGACATTACACACGGAAAATAACCGTCGGAGCGGCATCTATAAATATTTTCGGACCCATATACCTACATACGCAAATTGGTGCATTAGACGCAACGAGAAGGAGAATATTATCAGGTTGTAAGGATCATTTAGAGCTGCTGTGGGTTATTAGCAACCCGCATATCTGCTGGGCGTAACTAAATAAGAAAACAAATCTCGTCGAGATGATCCGCGATCGGTCAATCTTTTCACGTAGATTTCTACGCGTATACACGTAGATTTCTAATTTCTTATCCCGCGGGTAAATAAGATGCTCATTTACGTCGCCGGTTACAGCAATGTACAGTGTTCTATTGTGCACTTAAGCGGAACCACGTGCTCCGAGTACTTCGGATACTTGAGATAAATATGCAGCAGCATTGTAAGATGTAGTGCAGTTTGCGATGCTCGGTTACGAGCGCAAGACGCTCCTCTGACGAGAGAGACAATCGATAATCCAAAAGTGGCGTAACAGAATTGAAAAGCGAGTGGGAAGGAGTGAAGTGAAACAGTAACGCAACTTTTCCCAGACCATACCGGATATATCGTTTCGATCGCAAATATTACATGAGGATGAACGAAAAATAACAGCAGTTGATTTTAACAGAACAGGTTTATCGAGCGGTGCAAAAACGTCAAATAAATTTGTGTTCTGCGGCTGATTGAAGAATAAGCTCCGTTCAAACAAAGGGCGCGAGTTGTTCTTTAAAACATAGGAAATTGCCCGGTGCGACCATTCAATCACGAAAGTATCGAACATGCTGTGCCAATTAGCGTGTAAGCGTGAAATGTCTCGCGAGTGACTCGGCGCAAGAGCGTAAAAAGCCACTCGTACGAACATCCGTATCAGGTTTTGATCCGAGAGATTCGAAAATTGGATCAAACGTCGTTAGGCCGACTTTCCTCGAGATAAGAATACCCGAGGTAGATGAAATCGCGCGGCGATCTTGTAAGACGGCGCGAGACGCGGAGCGTTTCGAACGCGGGGGATTCGACATCGGTTCTCGGCGGCCCGAATGCCTGCGTGGCGTAACTGAAAAAAGAGTCGCTTTACGCGCCGATCGCAAAAGGACGTTGACGCGTCGTGTCCCGCGAGACCATTTCCGCCCCTATAGGGGCGTTATAACGCGTTCATTCACGCGAGGACCGCCGCACTCCTTTTCTCTTGGGCGACGCGACCACCCGCAGGAGCCAGCCTTCTTATCTGCAACGACCGCGCGCGCGCGCGTCGTATATACCGTTCCGCGATATAACGTGACACATATATCGGCACTGACAATTTGGATCATAGTGTTTACCGCGAGCATATATATTCGCTAGCTCGCCGGTCGGAGCTCATTTTACACGGACTGCCGATTTTCTCGGCAACTGAAGCGTGCCCGGCGTGGTATCCGCGGCGTCCGGTCAGTTTGTCGTCGAGCGGCGGATCAACGGCGGATCGGTTAGTTCGCAGTTGATCGTTGCGCCGTTCATTCCTTCTTTCCACGCCGTTCCTCCCCAGGACTTGGCTTCCTGTCCGTCGTTTTCGTGGACAACGACTTGGAAATTCCGCGTGCGGAGCAGAACGGGCGTGACAAAAGGCGGACACGGGGAACGGGAGCGGCATGTCGTGCTCTCATCGGCCGTAGCGCGCTCGTCTCTCGCGATCGGTCGTCGGTCCTGGGGAAAAAGAGAGTGCTCTCCCGGTCACCCATTCGGATGTTTTTGCGATTCGAGAAAACGCTCGTCGGGTGCCGCGTGACCTGGGAAAACCGTCAGTGCGCGATGACGTCTTGACGATGAAATAGGGTGAGATAGGCGTAAGAGTGCGATTGCAGACGAAACGCCGCGCGCAGACACCGCCAGTGGATTTCCGGCGAGCACCCCAGTTCTTCATGAACTCGCGGAAAGATGCTATCGAGAGTTAACTTGGTCGCGATTCTGCTGACCTTGAATTGCGTTAGCCGCGCGACCGAGCATTCGAGATCGGCGCTAGAGAAATGGCAGGAGGAAGAGAGAGCCGTCACTTCCGGCAAGAAGGTCCTCAGGCACGCGTATGAGAATGTCACACCCGAGAGCCCTGTTTCTTCGGTCAACGGTCGCAACGCGAGGGACAAGGTAGCCAAGACCCATCGTTCAATCGAGCAAGACATCTATAATGCATATTCCAAGATCGAAATGGAGGCCCGAGGTAAATCACGAGTAGCGTTAGCTTTAATGGCGGATATGGTTTTATCTCTCTCGTAACGCAGGCGCCATAAAATATACTGACGCAAAAAGATAGTGGCGAGTATTATATTCGAATTGTCGTCTTGATCAGGTATGATTAACACTACCGTTGTGTAACGGTTTTCCTTTAATACCACAATGGCTTTTATCATTTTTTAGATAAGATATATCCGATATTTATTTTGCTACAGTTAGAATTTTATATTCTTCATACCAAAGCACTGAGAAATGCTGTCAATAATAATTATTAGCTCTTCAGTTTTGCAATAAGTTAAAAATATATCAAACGATCGACATTTCACGTTAATTACGTAATCTTGTAACAAAAACGTCTAATATCATTTTCGTCCACGCAATCATGCAACTTATGAGGTAAATATTACCTGCCAGTGTTAAGTAATTCGCGTTTCAACAAGTTTAAGTGACGAAAAGTACGTTGAAGGCTCTAATCCGAGTGTTCGTGACAATTTCCAGATGAAGCACGGCGTAAGAAACGGAAGGCAACGATTGGCAAAACTATGATGGCGTTACTGATGGCGTACAAACTGAAATTTGTTGCTCTAATACCAACGATACTCGGAGGTTTGATTCTTCTTAAAGGAACAACGCTACTCGCGGGATTCTTCTTCGCTCTATTCGCCGCCGTTCTCGGACTGAAAGTACACTGACAACCAAGTCAAGCAGGATCTATGGAAGGAGCGCGCACCAAGAATACACTAAGAAGTGAGAATGACATACGACTTTATTTCGTAATAATTTACAGTCAGATTAAACTTGTATAACTAATCGTTGTTATCTTTGAGAAAGTATTGAACGCCTGTGTGCACAAAGTAACACTTAAGGCCGAATTTATAATCGCTTCTCGGAGTCAAACACGTATACACCTCGTATACATCTCGTAGAATGCGTCGCGTCAAGTGTATGCTTATAAACGCATTAAGTAAATTTTCTTTTTCCACATCTCAGAGGGCACAAATGAAAAAACGCCGCTGCGCGAAACGATCCGCATGGTTTACTATCGTTGCGAAATAAATGTTATGTTTCTTAAAATGTAATATATCTATATGAGTTAATCATTACAATAAACGTTGACAGATGAAAAAAATTAGTGCTTCTTATTCGCTAGATTTTAATACTCAAATGTTTTAGTCGTCACGCTTACTCTACTGAACACACGATTTAGTAACGTAAACATTGATACTCGTGTAAGTACTTGTCGCAAGCTACACATTCCAAACTCTCTTTCTAAGGTTATTTCATTAATCTAAAATAAATATATTATATATATTTGCCGCCTATCTTGCTGCGGTACTATAAATAAATGTAAATATATCGCAAGTGTACTGAGAAACGACTGCAAATTCGGCTAATACAAGAATGAAGTCTGTCATCTTTTCGCTCGACCTCGAGATTGAGATTGATCGCGTTCCGATCATCGACAAAAACTTGAGACCAGCACCGTTAGAAACGTTTGCGTGTATGAAAATTACTCTCATTTCATTACATCATTCGTCGGGATAGCCGGCAGTGTAATTGAAGTGCAAACACCTGTCGGTGCAGCTTCTTTTGTTTTACAGTTTCTTTTGGCATGGTAATTTTCACACAGCCTAGCTGTAGTTTGCGCATTTTCTCTTAACAAAAAGCTGCCGCGAGTCGCGTTAACTTTTTCGTTTCGTCAAATGCATACGATAAAACATTTCCATTATATTGTTGCGTCGAAAGTTATGTCATTTACAAAACCGTTTAATTTAAAAGACGAGAAATTGCGATACAATATTGTTATTATATCGATGATCATTCGAAAAAACGAGCAGACTTGCGCAAATTTACACGAACGAGACAGCTCGCCCATTCGAATCTACTTGCCTACTTGTGATACTTGAAAAAGTTTTGCATTTTTGACATTTCCTTTCACAATAATATTTAGCTATTCCAACATCAACGTCACTGATACACGCCGTCTTTACACTCTCGGTTTCGTCGCAATTTGTGCGGTGATTTGTTTTTCAAAGATAAATAAGCGAATCTATTTCGATGTCTCGAACTGTCTCTGAAATCGCGTACTGTCCGCTCCTTTGGATACAGGCGTTGCTCCCTCCCGATACCTGAAGATTTCCCATTGCTGCTCTCGGCTAGCGAGCCGTTTAATGCTTCTGCCGCGCGCTGTAAGCCAAGGTGTGAGCGTACTCGCGATCGGCTTCCGTTAATGACGGTATCGCCGGTGCGCCCACGACTCCCTTGAGACTTCTGTCCCATCCGCCGCTCTGCTGCCAGCCGCCGTGGTCGTGGCCGCCCTGCTTCTGCTGAAGGAGCTTCTTCAAGCCGATGATCAGCGAGAGAACCAAAGCGATCTTGCTGATGATCAGTGCCTTGCCGGCCAGCAGGAAGAGCACGCCCATAGCAATGGGGACTAACGCGGCGAGTTTCATGGCGAATCCCATCATCATCATGCCCATCATCTTCTTCATTTTCCCACGGCCCTCCTCGACACTCCGCTTCAGTTCGCCGGAATTTGTCTTTGGTAAGCTGATCTGCACGTTGAAACTGTTCATTAGCGCGGCCACGCGCTCGAACAGAATATCGTTGAGTACTTCGTCCATGGCCCCTCCGTTGGTTCTAGCCAGGGTCTTCTCCAGATCGGCGCTTTTCGAGCTGTCGTCCGTCGTGGACGCGACTTTGACCAGCTCGATATTGTCGCCGATCGGTAAAGTCTGTATACGGCCGAGTCTCTCGAAGAAGGCGACCGCCTTCTTCTTCAAACACGGCGACACAGCCAAATTGCGATGCTCGCACTCCTCGTAGACACGATAAAGAGCACGGTATCCTCGCTCAAGGAATCCGCCGTCCTCCTCGGCGCGGATAGTTGCACCGCAGACTAACAATAGCAGCACGCACTTGGATATAATCTTAATCGCCGACATGCTGGACCCGGATGGCTTTTCCAACTCGCGGATGCTTTAGCTGGGCGAATTGGGACTAAATCACAGACACCTCGTATCCTCGAAGTCACGCGAGAGGCACGCGACTCGAAATCCGAAGCGACTAGTCGGAGATACAAATAGTTGCGCGCACCCACGAGCTGGATGATCCTCGACTAGAGAGAACTGGCATCAGGACCAAGTCTCCGGGCAGATATATACCAGCGAGGAGCCATCCTCCTAGGTGCCATCCTTCACGAAGGGGGTTGAGGTATCTCTCTCTCGTATAAACGGACGGATATGCCGGTGCACGTGACGACACGACCTCACTTGTATGAGTGGATAATCCTCTTCTATCTTCTCTCCGTCGCGAACCCCTCTCGTCCTTGCATCCTCCTCTTTCTCTTTCAGCTCGCTATACAGCTGCCATCGCGGCGGGACGGGGCTGAGGTAAAAATTCTCATGATGGTAGCGCGCCAAGAGCATGTGACCCTTCCTGACACAGAGACCCACTCGCGTCTCGAGATCGAGACACTGCTGTTGAACAGCGGCCACGCGATTCGTTCATTAAATTTCGCCGCGGCGGTTACGTACCTACGAGCTGTGTGTGTGTGTGTGTCTCTCTCTTCCGCGTGACGTTAGTGTGCGGCCTCATCATGATTCGCATCTTGCGCGGGAGGAGAGGCAAAGCCTTTTCCGTCTTGGGATGAGACCAGAGGGGAGCGCCGTGGACTGCATCGGCAGAGTATCTGGCACCGTGATCTCGCTGACCCCTGGCATAACGTGAGGCTGCTAGAAACTGGTTCCAGGTTACGGACAGCCCGTGACCTTCCTATCGTATAACGATTTTCCTGCGGCGCGGAATGAGCGAGGATTATCGACACGAATGATCTACTTTCCCTGCATTTCGGTGCATCATTCTCATCGTTTTGTGCCCCGTACTGATGGCGGACCGATAATGTTTTCTATTTATGTGAGATGTAACGAGATTCGTTGCCGATCGTTCCTCATCTCCTTTGACCCTTTCCCACCGCGCCTCGATCTATAGTTATCGCTCGGAATTTAAATTGCACGAGAGGAACGTGCAAATCGGAAATTACTGTCGCCATCTTCGTTTTCTTTCAGCGATATTTGCAAAAGAAATTTTGTTTCGTTCCAGATTCGTTGGCACCGAATTACCGCAAAGCGAAACGGATAAAACAATAACGTGCTTCGTGATACCGCCTTATTGCGCAATAGTATAACTTATGACTGCACAGCACCTCACTCTTGCACAAATTGCGCTTTGATTACGTGCACATCGCATCCCTCGGTACACGTCATGTATAAACCAGCTGTCGTTCATTTTTGGCGCGATAGCTGTGAGATGGAGATACCAGTAGTAGATGAATGAACATTACGAGCCTGGAATTCGCAGCCTTATGGCGTATAATTAGCTAATTTACTCAATTACTGGCAATGTTTCGACATACATATGCGCTCTGTATATGACTGCTGATTAATGCATTCGTTTACTAGACGTTTTCGCTTTGCCAATTTACCACGTACAATTAATGAAGTAATGGACAACAAAGCAAAATTTCGGAACTCGATAAGAGCTCTTTTTTTCTTACTAAGTAATTGCTATTATTAATTTTGGTGATTTAGACAGTAAGAAGCAATGCCTTTGATTTCTTTTAAGAAATTGTCAGTTGGACTATTGCGCGAGAGATAAAAGATCCGCGACTTTCGTCTGCGGAATTATAGCACTTAGCCTCGAAAGGATTAATAATGTGTGTGCAGACCCACACACAAAACTGTCGGGGCCCGACGTATTGCTGTTTTCTTCTCGTATCACGGTTTGTTAGGAGCGTGAAGCTGAGCGCATGGCGCATCCTCGACACACTCGATCGAGGTTAGCGCATCTCTAATGCGACAAGAGCCAACGCGATGCATCCTCCATACTGTTACCTACTTCGCGATTATCCCATAGTCAGTGCCACGGGCCCACACAGACGGTGTTTAACTGTATTAAGGCCCGTGCCACATTCTGAACGCGCAGTTATATTCTCACGAGCGGTGCGAGAAATGGATTCCGCCGCGTTGAACCTACGCACAGTGCGGTTTGGCTCGATTATTATTTGTTATCTGATACCACTCAGGTCCCAAGTCACAAAAGCGGCGGACTTTCGATTGTTCGCAAAAGTAGAGAAGTAGGACGCCTCTGCCGCGAGACATTTATCTTAACGACGTCGCATGAATTATCCCATTCATCCCTCAACGTCTAATTCGCGGAAGTTTGCCGAAAGAATACTTTCTGTGGCGTCATTGGGTCACAATGATACTATTCTTCGCGGGGAAAATTGAAAATTAAAATGGACTACCCATTTATCATGGGACCCTGTGATTTGTATTTGCCAAACTACATAAAGTGCGGCAAAGTAGATAGTTGAGAAGAGTCTCTTGTGGGGAGTAAAAGCTTAATCTGCACGGAAGATCAGTTGTGGTGCGGAACGCACGGGTTTCCAGAATAATAAAAGTGAGGCAATAGGTTAAACCGTCATGAGCGATTTCCTCGAGAGATATTTTAGACAAGAACAGGACGGTTTCTGCCTGTTATTAGATTCAGGTCAACGATCGGCAACAGGTGGTTTTGCCGATTCGCACGCGGAGGGTTCTAATTTACCTCATTACCGGATCATGCTCATTCGCGAGAGCATTAAATTTAGTAGGGTTTAATAGCAAGCCTAAAGAATTCCTTCACCCCAATGACCTCTATCAGAGCTGATGTGGAGTATCGAAGCGGCGTGTATGTAACAGCAAAAAACCTTGTTGAAATAATCGAGCGTTGCTCGCGATGAGCGAGCTTTATGATCGAGCGAAGAAAAGCTATACGCGGAAACGTGAAATTTACATAGCGGACATAGGCACGCAGCGGGATCTATAAAACATCGCGAAATATTTTAAAAAGAATAATGGCTCTTTGAATTACGCCTCACATTAACGCCTGAGATATACGAGGAATTTCAGGCGTCAGTCGGACACTAAAGCGCGGGAGCTGCATTCTCTGTGTTGCACAAACGGCCATGTTAGGATGCGTATAGCCGGTAACCTTCAGAGGCTGTAACCCTGCATACTCTGAGTAGTGAATCGAGGATGCTCGATTGGCCCAGTGGCATACAAAACACTCGTCGAAGAAAAAGATCATGCTTTTTAGGCCTTATTCTCCACTTTCCGGCGCGCGAGGATCGTGGGAGCTGCAACAAGTGAAAAGCAAGCTTTATCATTCACTTGACAATCCACTTATCTTAATTCGGCTCCCAATTCATTGAATAACTTCTTTTCCACGGCAACGAGCGTTAAAATCCGAACAGCTTTTCCATTGTAATATAATGATTTTTACCGCCACTGCACATCCGACGGTGCGTGTGGCTCAGAATAATACACAAGACGGCGACGATAATAATTTGCTCACCTTAAATTGCAATATTATGAAAGAACTTTCGGGAAGTAATATTATTACACGTTTAACAATAAGGGACTCGGCCGAGTTTCACGCCATTTTGAATCTGTTATATTCAGGGGAACAATTCTCGAATTAATAATAGTATATACAGTCACAAACGTCAAACAATAAGTGAAAACCATTGATGATACTTTGAATGAAACGTATATCAATTCGAAAATGTAGGAAAAGCGTGTATGTAAGACAAATTAAACGGTAGGTAGGGCTAACACGTAAATTAATCAAATGTTTCACATCACTTTCTACTTTCTTCAACAACGTTTCTATTATCGGTCTATTTGATATTAAATAAAGCACCTTTCTCGCAAATTACGGGCCCGTAACATGTGTACATAAAAAAAAACGTACCGACAGCTTACATAAAACTATATGCTCTGACCAACATATGCGTTGATGCCTGACCTTCGATTTCGATAAATTTGAAATTTCATCTATTTCATCCTCTCCGTTTCTACTTCACCCACTCAGTCTCTGTCTATCTAATACCCGGGGAAACAAGCCGTATGTCCAATTTTATCTAATTGTATCAGAAACATTTGATCAGATTATATCCAAATTTTAATGCATCCACTTGTAAATGTATCAAATTAGATGTGGTCAGATATAGTCAGATGTTTATACCGTTTTATCGGGATAAAATTTGGATTTAATCTGATCAAATTTTATCATATCTGACATTTTTGATACAATTAGATAAAATTGGATACATGGCTTTTTCCCCCGGGTATTTACCTCACTGAGCGTAAATCCGAGCGCGTACACGAGTCAACTTGCATCGCGTACCCCCACAAACACGTTACTCCGTACTTTGGATAGGTCGAAAATGATGATACGCGCCGCTGAGGCTTATCTTCTCACTGCGCTTCATGCACTCGATTTAACATTGTGGTAAGTACGGTACTGCATCTATACTGAATATGTACGCGACTATGTGCGTGCAGAAACGTACGGTTCTACAGCACCGGTTGGAATAATTTTACGCGCATGATGCATTTTACCATAGATGCATTCACGCTCTGTATGTCGTAACATCACTTTACTCCGCCATTATTACTAATTGCTAGAGCCTATAAATATGACGATCTCCACAAAGCGTCAGTTCTGATCGAACATGCTTTGGCGGCTCTTCGTGGTTCTGATATTAGGCGGTTTCATCGCCATTTGTTGTTGCGAACCCGTGAACAGAAATCGTTTACTAAAAGTTGCGGGGACAAACGAGTGTGCCGGCAATGAAGGTGACATCTCCATGTGTAGAACTAAGGAGTCGGCCAATACTCCTTCGCCAAGTAGCGGGAATCGAACGCAATCCAGCAGGGAAGCCCGAACTCTCCTAGATGATGTTAATGATGTTAACGACGTGGCTGAAGGTGAGAATTCTTGCTTATTTTTTAAATTCATAATTTCTATATGTACAGTGCACGAAAGAAAGTGTATTCGTACATCTCATATCCTTTTTAAAGTAATTCTGGGCAAAAGGAATGTTAAATGAATTTCTCTGTTAGAAACAAATATATCATATAGAAATTAGACATGCATATAAAACTATATACAAGTATACTAAATAAAACAAAAGTGTTTTATAACAGCATCTTCTTCGTGCAAAATTATCTCTCAAATTGTATACAAATACATACCTGTGCTATCTATTATTTCTATATTGCATTACTTTTATTTGCTATTATTAAATATTCAACTCTTGAACAGAAAACTATTCTATTAACATAGAAACAATGAAAAGGAGAGATTAGGATTTTTAGCGACTCTATTTCATATTTTGAATGTCATAACCAATTATTAAGGAAGCAAGTGTGATATGAAATAATTAAATTGAATTAATAATTTTAGAGGATTGAATTAATAATTTAGAGAAACTGTGCACATTGTATATTTGTTTATTACATTTATTATCTTGTTCATTATTTCTTTAGAAAATAATAATGCTTCTTGATCTAATATTATGAGTGAAGTGAAAAAGAGAGTAAAAATAAAAATGTATGTTGGTCGCATGTGTAGAATTTATTCATAAATATCAGTTTCTTTGGTTTTTTAACTATTGATTTGATTAATTTAATATAATTTCATTTGCGATTTTAATAGTAATTTAATAGTAAACTAAGTTCAATGATTAATTTATTTTTAAATTTCAGTTTCTGCTCGGAAAAGGAAAAGAAGAAACAATAGACTAATATTTTACATCATAGCTGCTTTGAAAGCAGCGCTGGTCTATGGATTACTACACGGCGTTGCAGCTCTCGCAGGAAAGGCAATATTGCTTGCCAAAATAGCTTTAGCGATTGCCATTGCTTCAATTCTAAAAAAGAATGGTACGTGGTAGGTAAATCATAAATTATAAAAGATTATTATTTAATTAGTAAGAATATTCTTAAAAGTCGCCAGAAGTAATTAATAACATCAGTGATTTTTATTGACCGTATCTGGCAATTAAAATTCTTATTGCGAAAAATATTACCCCACCCAGGTTCGAATCCTGGCTGGGGTAATATTTTTCGCAATAAGAATTTTAATTGCCAGATACAGTTAATAAAAATCACTGATGTTATTATTATTTAATTTTATTACATTGAAAATCCAAATCTCTATGATCAAGAAAACTGCATGTAAATATTTGTTTTTCAATAACATTAAAGTTACAATCAGTAAAAAATGGAAAACGGAATAAAGTTAATATTGCGAAGAGTGTACACAAATTTACGAATTCGAAATAAATTTCCTCAATTTAAGTTATATTTTATTTAGTAAAAATTTATAACATATTCTTTATAATATCAAGAATAAACGTTGTTCGTTGCCTGTAAATGATTAACAAGACGAACAAATTATTAAACGATCTAACTGGCAGATAATCTACCAATTAAGTCGTCTAATAATTTGTTCATCTTGTTTTATAATATATTTTTATTCTAAATTTAAAATACATTCGCATTATTGCCAGGCAAACCAGCCTAGATCGTTTTAATTCTTGATTGTATTTCTTTTATCAGTGGCGACCATTTCCAAAAATTTCTTAAAATACATTCCGTAAATCTTTTTGAGCATGGAAACTTGAAAGATTAACTTTTATAAAATTAATCTATTATAAGGTGATACAAATTCTATGACAATTTAATTTAGATCAAATGATGCAATTAATAAAATTTCCTTTCAGATCCCGACAAAGTTTCTTATGAAATAGTGAAGCATCCACAAACCAGCTACATACAAACCCATAGTTCAAGTGTCGATTACGATCACCGTAGTGATTACAATGATGACCGTAATGATTATACTTACGAGCGTCGAAATGATTATGTTTACGGACATCGAAAGCGACGACACCTTATATTTCAATATAAATAGATTTTAATTAAAAATTGACAACCAGCAAATAAAAGAAATTATTCATAAAGTCACTTATATAAATTTGTTTACAAATCAAAGTATTTACAAATTCAAGACTTATCATGCTTTATCACAGTTTAATATTTTGAAAAAGACAACAGCAAAAGTTACCAAAGATGTGCTTTAAATATATATTTGACGTAAAAACAGCTTTAATTTAGACAATATGTAATAGAAAATTTATTTGTACATCCACAGTCGTATAAAGCCCATTCTACATTAGTCGCAGTCGTACGCTACGAATTAACTAAGAGTAGAATGACCTTAATAACAACTATTTGTAAATCTGTAAACACAAATATATTGTAATAAAATCTAATATACATAATATATACTTAAGAAGTGAACTATCGTAACTGCAAAACTATCGATTTTGAGGTTTTTACCTCGACTTAATACTCTAATTATCTAATTTTAAATTTCAATAGGCCAATTACTTTCACGAGCAATGTTGGTTTCAAAAGGTTTTTAATGGTTAATGTGCTGTCATATTAGTCTTAACATTTAATACAGTAAAGAATCTAACGATATGTATAGCGATGTGTAATTATTTATTTCATTATTGTTTAAAAATAATATCTTTAATCAAAAACTTTAGTATAGTATAAAAATATTATCAAAACCGACCTATAGAAATGTTAGTTGATTTCGGCTGTCCTGTATACATTTGCTAAATGCCCAGTTACGACAGTTGACCTCTCAAATACAGATACATTATAATAAAATATAATACATACAGTATGTAATAATTTAAAAAGTTTAAATACATAATTTGTTAAACTTATTTTTCATATCTTTAGAGTTTTGTGTAATTATTTATATCAAAGGTGTTTATAAAAATAATAAATAAACACATTTGTATTTTGTGGTATTTTAGAGTTGGAATTATTTTAGCCGTTACATTATATTTTATAAAATAGGGAACAGGCTATAAATAGGAGCAAATCAAATAACAATATGATAAATAATATAATAATAAAAAATATTTAATACCTTTCTCTTAAATACACACAAAAATATATTTATCTTGATTTTATATGCCATATCAATATAAATTAATATATTAATGGGAAATAAAATTCTCAAATCAATGTGACATCTAATTGTAAGACAAAGCATTGAACCATAATAATATTATTATATATTGTTTATCAAACATATACTTATATTATCAAACATATATGTATATTTATCGAACAATAATATAATCTATTGTTTATTCTTGGTATTGTATATTGTCTATTTATGGAATAGCATGTTCGTCCGAGGCAAAGGAGGATGTAATGTAAGTATTAATTTATTTTTATTAAATATTAAAATAATGAATAAATTAAATTAAAAAACTTAAAAAAACCGTTAATATACTTTCATTATCAGACACATCGAGGAAGATGTATTACATGCGGTAACTAAATCATAAAACTTCGGGATTTGTAGCCGAATCTGATTCAGGTTGGAGGAACAAATTCCATCGCTCGTTGCCAGCCACCACTATATCCGCCGCCACCACCACCTCCATGATGTTCCGATGCTGTCGCATAGATCACTTCGTGGCCTCCTCCGCTCGACACGAGCTTTTTCAAGCCGACAATCGCACTTAAAACTAAGGCCATTTTCGCCGTCAGTAAAGCCGTACCAGCGATGAAAGCAATTTTTCCATAAGCTAGTTGTGCCATCATGCCTGAACAAATAATTGATATTTCATTTATTTTATAAAGGTTGGAAGAACTGACCGTTTTACTAATTACTTTTATAACTAGGTATTTTATTTATTTCAAGTATCAAAATAAGGAAACAGATAAGATAAAAATTATTTTCCGCACGGTATTGTGTGGAAAAATATATTCTATTCGTTGCTTCTACTAGTAATATTGTTGAAAAATGTAGCTAAATAGTTTGAAGAAGTTTCAGTAAGCCAATTAAGCTGTTTGTCTTGTTTATTATGTCTTTCTTAACTTTAACATTATTTCTTCTATGAATTAGAATATTAATATTTTGTACGAGAACCTTACCTGCCATCACGGCACCTGCTATCATTATATATCCCATTCCCCTGTTCTTCTTTCTCCTCCCTGTAAATATTGCAAATGCATTTAAATGTTTATAAATTCTTTTTCTTTTCAATTAGCATTTTTTGATACAAAACGACGTCGATAAAATATTTGAAATGATATTTAATAATTTACATTGCTACGATTGAAGTGAAAAGTGTATAAACGGATTTTAAGTAATTTCTTAATGATAATTTATTACCTTCAAAAGCGTTGCCCGGTATTGTCAGTTTCAGGCTTCTCGACGTCAAATACTCATAGAACATGTTATCCAATTGCTGATCGAGGCTTAATTCCGTGCCATTCTCAGACGTCGTCGGGAAACTTCTGGCGGTGGATGCCGGATCTTTAGTTAGTGAAATATAATCATTGATTTTATATACAGAATCATCGTGGATAGCCGAGTCGAGAATCTCCAGGGCGCGCCGTTTGAAGCAATCGAAGGTGTTCTTCTCCTTTGCGCACCGTTCGAACAAATTCGTATATTCACTTTTAGCAGTCACTAAATTGCAGAGCACTGCGAGATGAAAAAAATGTAAGATCCAAACTACGAAACGCCGTTTATCCATCATGAGCAATTGTGTAGTCTGGCCCGTCGAGATTCTTCTTCCTCCGATCTCGTAGCAGTCTCTAGCACGCTTCTCTTCGGCTACGGTTTACTCTGGCCTCTCTGCTGGTCAGCTCGATAAATCTCGCAGACTACTCGTTAGAATCTGGTTGCATTGTGACTTATATAAGTGTGCACCCATTAGCCTCTCCTACCAAGGCATTAAGATTCTTGGTACACGCGCCCGTACTTGATCCACGCGCTGTTTAACGCCACACAACGGAAGGAAAGACCCCCTCAACCAAAACAATGTCGTACAGCCCCGTAAGTAAGTATCCCTCTGACCTGCTTGTCAAACGAACCTGAAAACTCCGCCGCGCCAATCGTCGTTAATAGCAACGCATCAAGAGTGGAATGCGGGTAAAACAGACGATATTCTCCACCCAGACGTGATTATAAGTGCAAACCTCTGCATCGAGAAGCAGAAACAGTTGTAGATTTATCCATCAATTTGCATGCATGACTAACTTTACGTGTTGCAGAATAGTGTCATGCGGAAATGAGTTTTTCTTTTCAACGCTTATTTCTTGGTATTGTTACATACATCGGCCAAGTTCAATATTCTTTTTCTTAATCGTGCCGCCCGTGCCGAGCATCGTGATGGTATCACGAAATAATGCGGATATTAATGCGGTCTACAATTGATGTATCGTTTCTTTCCGGCTCTCTCTGTTCTCGGATACTCGGATGGATTCGTATACAGAACTACCGGTCACTCTAGCCACTTGATCAACGTAACGTGAAGGCGATCGTCCTCTCGGCCTCCTTCCCTCCACTTTTCCTTGTATCATAAGCCTTTCCAGCGAGTCCTCATCCTTTTTTATGGTGTGGCCGAAATATTTTATGGTGATATTTTCTACGGTCACCTCTAGTCTCTCGGTGATGCTTTTACTTCTTCTAGAATGGAGTTTTTCCAAGCCACTTTGCACTCCGTGCGATTCTCAACATCCGTCTCCAAATAAACATTTAGAAAGCCTCAATTCGCCTTTTGTTAGCCACTTTCTAGGTCCCGGTTCATCTCTTTATTGAGTGCGATTGATGATCATTTTTATTCTGAAGAGATTGACTTTTAGGCCCTCCGGGCTCGCATTGTCAACTCTTGTTGGTAATTCCACAAGTTCAATATTAACATGAGGCAATAGCTTCAATATTTGAGGCCGCGGGGCTGAAAATAATGGCTGACAGAAGGCGAATTGAGGCCTTCTAAATGTTTATTTGGACACGAATGTTGAGAATCGTATGGGCTGCAAAATGACCAAGTGGCTCCATTCTAGAAGAACTAAACGCCACGGAAAAACTACTTGAAAAATTCCATCATCTTATAAGTAAAGCTCTGCATTATTATGAGATAAGTGAAGTTTTGGTAATTAAGTGGAAAGAGAGAGTTACTTTGTTACTTAATACATCGCTTTGCATATTTCGACCTAGACAATGTACATTTCATTAGACTATTAATGCACGAAAGAGAAGAAGATTTACACTTCAAAGAAATATACTCATTTCATTAAGTAATTAGCAAGGCGTGAAATTATCAAATGCAAGTCTTGCATAAAGATAATATACAATGTATAATAAAGATCGAGAAACTCGCGCATTAACGTAGCATCTGGGATACTGTTAATCAAGCGCAGTTTACGATCCGTAACGAGCTACATTTGGAAAACGACTGGAACAATTACAGTAATGGACTTGATTAACACTGTCCACTCCTTTCAGCGTATTTCATTTTCGCACTTCTTTCTTTCGAATGTAGGCTACTTGTCATACCAGCCAAGCCCGCTGTAGTTCCGCATCATCTTGATAAATTCTAATAAGATTAAGTATCCACTTAATTCATTGTCACTTTAACGACACAGTGCGAGTAATTATCAAAAAGAGAGCGTTACGTACAAACGTAAGCTCTTGTCACGGTCTCGTTATCAAATGGTACTGTCTCAACGATAATATTGTTATTTCTCGCAAAATAATACTTCCGCAAATGCCACTGTTTCACTTTTGCTGTCTGCCAGAGACCCGCGAAGCCGAACGGGCTCGCCTAACGTAATGCGATCTAATCGATATTATCCTTTAAGTGATATTATGCAATTAATTAGAAATCTTAATCTATTCATAATATGATACACATACTTCTCTCAACACTGTTCTACGACACAAGCCGATTAGTGTACAAGGAGCTACACGTGTAAAATGGCAAATATAATTAAATGATGATGGACAAAGACGATAAACTTGTTAAAAGCTTCCTTCACCGGCCGTTGCAACGTGCGATGTACTCCCACCTTGATTGTTATACTTGGCAGAGGATGTCTGAGCACGTGGTCGTACGTGTATGTAGTTGCATGACCGTAAAGATACGGTGGTGTTTTCCTTTACAAGCAAATGTGCGTTTCCCGGATGTAATCATCGCTGTTCTTACGTCCGGTGGTAATGTAAGCGCGACGAAGAAAGAGAGAACTGGTACAGTTAGGCGACCGAAAGAAAGGACGACGCAATAATGGACTGAGACTAATGGGATCGCTAAGTGAAAACGTCAGAATCCCAGTGACAATTCTTACTGATGGACAGATACTTGAAACTGAGCTTGAAAGTGAACTCGTAATAAAAAAAAAAAAAGACATTATTACACAATGCAGACGAAGAAACGGTAGTCGTCCTGTACGGCGTAAAATATCTCTTCTCTTTCTATTTATTCGGTTCATCTCAACATTACGAATTGTACTGATACAGCTGGTGTATGATATAATAATAGAAAAAAATTAATGGCAAAGGTGTGTAAAACTAAATACTATTCTAAAATAAGTATTGTACATTTCTTACCGCGTTTATTTGCGACACATTACTTAATACTGTTTAATAATGTAGATTGTGATAAATCAATGTTAATAAGAAAATACTATTTAAAAAGTTAAACATTTGTACTGTGTATATTTAATGGGTAAATGTATATGGAAAAGTTTGAGCGCTTCTTTCTTTAATTCAACTTTCGTATCGAACTATCCATTTAATTATATAATCGATGCATATAACGAATATCCGCGTCGTTAAGATTTCTAGATTCTTGAGAATCTATTCTCTAAATAACAGAAAAATTGATTAAGTATTTCTTACGCTCTAGAATAATTGAATAACTTGCTGGAAAGACAGTACTGAATCTGGAGAGAATAAATGTCCATCGGTGATTTTTATACTGACAATTTATTTAAATCTCTTATCGATATATTTGATGCTGTACACACTATCGATTAATTATTTGGATTTTTCTCTGTGTTAAAAAAACACATAGCCGGTCAATTAACTGTTTTGCTTAATC